CTGTGTAGTGTGTAGTGTCTAAATAAATTTGTTTTGTTAAAGAGTGGATATATAGAATAACAGAATAACAGAGTTGGAAAGTACCTTGGAGGTTTTCTAATCCAACCAACTGCTTAAGCAGGAGACGGTATACTATTCCGGACAACTGACTGTCCAAGGCTCTTCTTAAAAGCCTCCAGTGATGGAAGCACCCACAACTTCTGAAGCCATGCTGTTCCACTGGTTAATTGTTCTCACTGCTAGAAAATTTCTCCTTAATTCCAGGTTGCTTCTCTCCTTGATTAGTTTCTATCCATTGTTTCTTGCCTTGTCTTCTGATGCTTTGGAAAACTGGATGCAGCATTCAAGGTGTGGTCTTACTAAGGCTTTATAGTACTTCATATGATCTTCATTCTATTTCTCTGTTAATGCAACCTAGGATTGCGTTGGCTTTTTTGACTGCTGCTGCACATTATTGGCTCATATTTAAGTGATTGTCAACTAAGACTCTGAGACCCCTTTCTCAGTTATTGCTATTGAGCCAGGTTTCACCTAATCTGTATCTGCACATTTGATTTTTCTTGCCTAAGTGTAATATCTTACTTTTCTCTACATTGAATTTCATTTTCAAGTCTCTGGAGATCTATCTGAATCTTTTATGGATATTTTCTGGGGTACTGGCTATTTCTACCAGTTTAGTGACGTCTGCAAATTTGATGAATTCCTTTTCTATTCCCTCACTAAATCATTTAAGAAGATATTAAGTGTCCTGGACCTAAAATGGAACCTTGGGGCACCCCATTGCTTATTTCTCTTCATGTAGATATAGTTTCATTAAAAAAACCCAGGAACCTCAGGAATGAATATCAAACCACCCCCACCCACAAAAGTAGTTTTGTAACAACTTATGATAAGTCATTTACAATAACTTTTCAATGAAAAGAAACACTTGTTTTTTGTGTATGTGAAGCCATATCTTATTCCCCCTCTAAATACTACTTCTCTTATTAAATCAATCAATAAATAATTGGTGTCCTCAATTATTCCCTTATTTTGCTTTGACTTTGTCATCCTCCTCTTGCAAGATAATTTTTCAATTTACTAAATATTACAAACAAATTCAGCCTAATAGAACTGCAGTCTTGAGAATACTTTTATGGAAATAATTTCTCAGGCATCTTGGCTGTGGCTGAGACTTTGTGCGTTGACATCCATAAATCTGGTGAGGAAAAGTAACATAATGAGCAACAGTAGTACCAAAACTGAGAATTTATTGAATTTGAATGTGACAAAAGAGTTTTGATCTGAAGGAAAATATTATCTCCCGTATATTGAGCTCAGATTTTTCAGGCAAGAGCTATAAAATCAGCTTTCAAATGAGAAAATTAAGTTCAGAGATTATGATGACTTGGGTCATTGTGGAGAGGAGCAGAGTAAATGATGACACACATAATTATGTTTAATATTGTATGAAGGAGTGTAGATGTAAGATGCTGGCTGGCTATCAGTTCCTCCATGATTGCCTATTTGTGGGATAGGCAGGGCAGGGGTTTTGTGTGCGTGTGTGTGTATGTGTGTGTGTGTTCGTGTTCCTGTGTGGCAGAGAATGGAACAAATTGTTCCCCTGGAAATGAATCCAAGTTCTCCTTTTAAGACAGGCTTGTGTGGTACCATTGTGTGTGTCTCCTCCCACCTGTTTTAACACAAGCTTGCATTATTTCAATTCCATTGCAAAACAATTTGTACTTACAGTGGTTTTCCTCCCCCTTCCATTAGTGTTACTTTGTTTTGTCTTTTTTAAAAAAATATTGTAATTCTATTCCCCAGACAGTTGGCTTTTTAAATAATATTGTAATAGTATTTCAAATGCAACTTCAAAATTGCATAATTTTGGCCAAACAACCAGTATCTTCACTGTGGTTTGGAATTCAGAGTAGATAGTAACATAGGTTTTATTGTAATTTATTTTTTCAAGTTTCACAGAGATTAGGGGCCAAAGTCCTCTTTCTTTCTTTCTTTCTTTCTTTCTTTCTTTCTTTCTTTCTTTCTTTCTTTCTTTCTTTCTTTCTTTCTTTCTTCTTTCTTTCTTTCTTTTTTCTTTCTTTCTTTCTTTCTTTCTTTCTTTCTTTCTCTCTCTCTCTCTCTCTCTCTCCTCTCCTCTCCTCTCCTCTCCTCTCCCTTGTTTGTCAGCCTTTTAAACTTCTCATTTTAATGTATTTTCTCTTTTATTATTTTTTATACAATTAAGAGTTTGATACAATGAAAAAATATTTTAATAAAAATAATAAAACTTGTTTCCTTTAAATGATGAATCAACATACAATAAAAGTATTTGCCTTCTAGTAACTTCAGATACATGCTGCCTCTTTCCCCTTTATTTTCCTTTCTTAAGCATTTTGTTCAGTTTAAAAGTTATTATTATTGATCCAGCATCATCTCAGAGCAGGTAGTCTTTGACTTAAAACAGTTCATTTAATGACTGAAATTACAACAGCGCTGAAAAAGTAACTTATGATGGTTTTTTACACTTATGACCATTGCAGCTTCTTCGTAGTCACGTGACCAAAATTCAGATGCTTGACAACTGACTCATATTTATGACGGTTGCAGTCCTACAGTCATGTAATCACTTTTTGTGACCTTCTGACAAGCAAAGTCAACCATGGTACTAATTTAACAACTACTGTGATTCACTTAACAACTGTGGCAAGAAAGGTCATAAAATGAGGCAAAGTTCATTTAATAATTGTCTTTAACAACAGAAATTTTGGACTCAATTATCAAGGAGTACCTGTACATCTGAAAGAATTTATTTATTTTTAATAAAGCCAATCTTTATCAATTTCCTAGCAATCTAGTTAAAACCCCTTTTGAGCAACTATTGCTACCCCGTTTCCCTGTATCTTTTTCTGGACATATCTGATTTCATCAGTTTTGGCAACTGCCCATTCCTGTGTCAAGCTTTTAACTTTTCAATAGCAATAATTTTAAGCTTATGACCTTAGTAATCTTTGTTGAGTCACTCCTCCCAAAAAATTAAGGTTGAAAAGGTGCATAAGGTCACAGATATCTCCTATTTGCTTAGTGACCATTAGAAGTTCCGACAGCGTGGGGAAAAAATGAATTAGGACCGTTTTTCACACTGAAGACCATTGCAGCATCTCCATGGTCATATGATCAAAATTTGGATGCCTGACAACTGGCTCATATTTATCATGGTTGCAGTATCCCGAGGTCATGTGATAATCATTTACAATCCACTGACAAGCAAACAATGGGGGAAGCAAAATTCACTTAACAACTGTGTTATTAAAGTGATTCACTTACCAACCATGGCAGGAAAGGTCGTAAGCAGGGTTGGGATTCAAATTTTTTAACAACCGGTTCTGTGGGCATGGCTTAGTTGGTGGGCATGGCTTGGTGGTCATGTTATTGGCTGGGTGTGGCCAACTCAATATCACTCACATCGAGGCACACATCTCCTCGCCTGGCCTCTCATGACTGTGGGGATACTGCAACAGTTGTAAGTGTGAAAAATGGTCATAAGTCACTTTTTTCGGTGCCATTGTAACTTTGAATGGTTACTCCACACAAGCAAAGTACCAGCAAAGGAAGGGAAAAAAACTCCAGAGAGATTCCTGAGACAGGAAGTCTAGTCCTGCCAAGAATGTAATAAGTGTTAACGGAGAGGCAGTTTCTGTAAGCAACACCAGAATGTTTCCTTCCTGCCTTCCTTACAGGATTAGGCCAGTAATTTCTTCTAACAATCGGTTCTCCGAACTGCTTAGAACGTTAACAATCAGTTCTAGCAAATAGGTGCAAACTGGTAGAATCCTACCCCTGGTTGTAAGATGGGTCAAATCTCACTTAATAAATGTCTCACTTAGAAAATTTGGAGCTCAGTTGTGGTTGTAAGTCAAGAATTACCTGTACAAGATGTTGGCCTAATCCTCTTGTTAGATGGTAGCTAAGTTAACTTTCTTTCTAATAAGCAACAGAAGTTTTGCTTAAGGAGCTCACTAGGAGAAAATGAATGTAGCAAATTAATAACAAATATATATATAGACAGTCCTCAACTTATGGCTGACTTTGCTTGTCAGAATGTTACAAAAAGGGATCACATGACCCTGGGACACATGAAACCATCATAGCACTAGCACTTAGACGTATATATCGCTTCACAGTGCTTTACAGCCCACTCTAAGCAGTTTACAGAGTCAGCATATTGCCCTCAACAATCTGGGTCCTCATTTTACCCACCTCGGAAGGATGGAGTCGGACCTTGAGCTGATGAGACCTAACTGCCAAACTGCTGGCAGCTGGTGATCAGCAGAAGTAGCCTGCAGTATTGCATTCTAACCACTGCACCACCGCGGCTCTTAAGTCAGTTGCCAAGTGTTTGAATTATGATCATAGACTTGCTGCAACAGTTGTAAAGATGAAAAATGGTCATAGGTCACTTTTTTCAGTGCTGTTGTAACTTTGGTGACTAAATAAACTGTTGTAAGTGGAGGATTTGTACTTCATATGAAATATATACAGAATTGGGCAAACCCCAGGCTTACAGGACAACCAACCTTCCCAGTACAGCACAGCACACGTTGGCTAGACAAATTGGACTACAGACCCTATCTCCTTCCACTAACCAATGGACAGTTAGTTATACTGACAAAGAAAACTGTAGTCCAGCATAATTGAAGGGGGCACCATCTTAGGAAAGGTAAGTCTAGGGTTTTGCTAGAGCTGCCTGAAAGGGCTCCTACTTCTGGAATGCACAGAGCTCTTCTCTGACATAATAGTGCCATTTAAAGCCATCACTAGGCCATTTGTGCTCATCTGAATAACCAGCAACAACAGGAGCAATAACAAAAAATAAATAAAATCTCCCCTTCAATACAGATTGAAAACAGTGGCCTATTATTAAGGCGCAATGATGGTATCTCTCTCTGGAATGTTCCAATAAAACCACACAATTATTCTTTTTTTCTTTCTCCCTCTCTCTCCCTCCTTTTTGATTTCAGAACAAAGGCTTCGCCCGGAAGAGCCACGTGTTCCTGCCAAAGATTTTTAAGAAAATGTCCTCCCAGCCCAAAGAGCGCCCTGAGAGTTTGCAGTTCTCCTTTCTAGATGACGATGAAACGATTACCACCATTCGGGAATCAAAAACTTTTTTTATTCTCCGAGGTCTACCAGGCAGTGGAAAATCTACCTTGGCGCAGGCCATCCAAGACAAGTATAAGGATGCTTGCAAAATCATTTCGGTTGACCACTACAAAATCCAGCCTGCTATCAGGAGTGCCATTCCTGATGATTACAGCAAGGTTGATGAGGATCTAGCTGACTATTGCAAGCGTGAGATCAGTGTGGTGGTGGTAGATGACACCCACCATGAACGGGAGCGTCTAGAGCAGCTTTTTGACATTGCAGACAAATATTGCTACAAAGTCATCATTGTGGAGCCCAAAACCTCGTGGAAAATGGATTGCTTGCAGCTCAAGGATAAGAATCAATGGAAACTTTCAGCTGATGAGCTAAAGAAATTGAAGCCCAGTTTAGAAAAGGATTTCCTTCCCTTGTATTATGGATGGTTTTTAAGCAAAAGGAGCTCAGAGAGCTTGCGGAAGACCGGACAGGCATTTTTGGATGAGCTTGCTAATATTAAAGCCTTCAAAAAAGAGTCAAATAAATACTGTGGGTGCTCTCCCCCCACCCCATCCCAGCTTTTTTATTTATAGAAAATTGGCGTACTAGCTTATATGTGTAATCCTTTTAATGCTTTTGAGGCTCTGCTAATATGCTGACTCTAGCATAATTTGCTTGAAGCATCCTTAAACTTCATCTTAGGAACAAAAAGAAAAACCATTCTATTCTAATTTTGGTTTGTATGATGAATCTGGAAAACCTAGGAATATTATTTTGATTTCCTTTTGTATTCCACACCACTTTTTCAAAATTGTCACTAGCTAATTAATAAACTTCAAGGAGAAAGCAAGATCTATCACATAAACCATTTTTAAAAAATGGTCATTCTTAGAATTCTTTTTTTGTAAAGGGCAAACGCACATCTTCCCAACATTTTGTTTGCTTTAAAATAAATAGCTGATTTTTATGTATGTTCCAATGATGCGCCAAATAATACTGTGAGTTCCTGCATATTCCTATCCTAATTTCTGGATTCATTCTCCAACTGTCATTCTATTCCCCTTCTTGACTGCCATCTGTTTCTATGCACTGAAAACTCATAATGTATTCCATTTCTACATATGCTTCTGAATTCTAGTGATCCCAAGAATCACTAAACCCAAACTCTTCTCAAGCTCTAGAATTTTGTCTTCCAGATGTTGTCCAAAAGTTCTTTGAACTCCATAAAATCATTGTGACAACCTTCTTTGTCTACTCCACTTTCAGGAATCTTTGTTATAGTCCTTGTTGCTTAGCTTTGGACCTAACACTGCATTGACAGTAGAGCCTCATATACCTGTAGATGTTAAATAGCATGCATGCCAGTTCTGTTTTAAGGATTTGGTCTTCAGAGTCACTTAGTCTTCCCTGACCAGATTGTGCTGGAATTGAAGACTTCTTCAGCCTGTTGCTTTCTAGATAACTTGGACTAGAGTTCCATTATCCTCAACCTGTGCTGGCTTAATATCAATTAATCACATCTTTAAATTGCCCATCTCTCTCAGAGAAAGACTCTGAGCAGTATACTATAAAAGATTGCTAAATATTTTAAAACTGTGTATAAAAATTTAAATAGACAAGTGACACTAAAAATTATAGGCATAGGGAGAGTTTTCAGGGCACTAGCCAAGCCTATGTCTATGTGTGCTGCAAGATCTCAGAGCCACATTTTCACACCTTTACAGAAAGCCAGGAGGGTGGTGGCACACTTCAGCTGGGGAGTTTTGTTTTAATATAATACACCATATTATGGATGTCTAACTTGAAATCTCTTATCTTCCTGTGCCAAAGTAAATTGCAAGCAACATAGTACTAAGCAAGAGAGATGATACTCCCATTATTCCTTCCAACCATCAGTAAGCTGTTTTGAATGGCTATAAATGATACCTCAACATATTTAAAGAGCACTAGCATAGAGAAGGCTGCAATTGACCAAATGTCATTACCTTCATTATAGTATTCATTCTCCAATATTTCAGCTGTTTGTCTGATTCAGATAGAAAGCAAAACCCTTAATTTTTGAAACAGTTTTAAGAGAGACTTCCAATATTAGGAGAGATTAATTTTCTGACTTGCCGCACAGAAACCGTGTGCCATTTAACACAAATCTGTTTTGACAATATTTGTAGGCAAAATTAAACTGAAGGATTAGGCTGGTTGGGATATACTTTTATATCTGTGAAAGCTGAACTTTATAGATGCTAAATCCTGCCTTTTCCGTGAATGTTCTGCAGAAGTAATATAATTCTAACCTAAGGCTCTCATTTTCCATCATTATTCATCCTTGGAATTTGGCTTGAAAATATTATCACCTATTTTTCCCTCTGAACTAACAAAAGTAAACAGATCAAATATAATCTACTCCAAATATATAACCATATTCCTATGGCAAAATTGACTACATCTTATCGTTAAAAAGTTTGTATCCTTAGCTAAGTAATTTCAAAAGTAATTTCTAAATTTCTTCACATAGTTTAAAAGGCCATAGGTGTTGGGGAGACAGCAAGTAAATCAAATTCAACACCTAAAGTTTTTCAAACTCTTTTTCAAAAAGTATGCTGGGGAATTCTGGGAGTCCACACATCTTAAAATTGCCAAGTTTGATTAACAGTGATCTAAGCTTAATGGCCATAGTTAAAACTAAAGGGAATCGTGGGGTGGTTTTTTTTCCTGCACGTTAATAGCAAATGTCACTAAAGATAAGAACTGAGAATCCTTTAAATAGCGGCTCCATCCTATTAATGGAAGGCAAGTAGTGAGTAAATTTGCCTACCATATGTATTGCTTTTCTTTATTTCATTTCCAGAACAGTCATTCTCAACCAGGTCCCTTCAGATATGTTGGATTGTAATTCCTGTAATCCAGTCCTAGTATGGGGAATGCTACAGGGGGAGATAGGAAGAGTAGAGCAAGAAAATAGGATGCAGACATGGTTAGCAGTGTTGAGTGAAATTACATGTTTATATGTAAACTCTATAGGCTTTTTTTTTTTTTGGTTAAGAATTCTAATCTCAAATGGAAATATTTCTTATCTGTCTTGCCAAACTAATATTGCAAAAGTGCAAAAACAGTGTTAGGTTAAAAGTGCATTTAAACAAAACCATGCATCTGAAACACTGAACCTTGCTCTCTTTGTTGTTTTACAGTTGGGCAGCCCTCTGAAGAACCCAAACTGAAAATTGATCTGACCAGCTACTTTGTGAAAAGGCCTCCAGGGGTTTTGCACTGCACAACTAAATTCACTGATTTTGGGAAGGCTCCAGGAGCAGATGATTATGCACAGCAAGATGTGAGAATTTTTCTTTTTATTCTGATGGAAACATGATAGCATGTAAAGTAATCTTTCAAGCTGATTTTAGGCGGGAAAAGTCAAACTTCCTCACTTTCTCTGAACTATTTTAAAAGAGAGAAATAGCATATTTTCAAAGGAATCTGAATGCCCCTCCCAGTTAAAATCAATATTGTCAGCGTTCGGTCATTATGCAAATTTGTCAGCATTTCATGCACTAGGCAAGGTATATTCTCTTAAAAATAATATTTGGTATACACTTGAAAAAAATATAATTCACTTTACTTCTTAAAAATTATTGCCAGAAAGAATAATTATATATGGTACTGTAAAATCACTCCTTTAAAATTTCCTGTATTTAAATTACGCATTATAGAAACATTCATTTTTATAATAGTTCAATTTTATTATGTAGATATTTTTGTTTTTAATTTTAGATTTTATTAATTGTAATCTTCCTTGAACATATTACATAAAACACATATAACTGACTCTTCTTCGAGCAAATTTAGCCAATGTATGTGCGGTGAGAAAATGAGAGAGACACACATTTAAAAAAAAAAATCTTGAGTATGTATTAACTCAAAAAAGTCTTCTGGATCTATTCATATGTCTCAAGGTATTATCACCCAAGGGAATTGAGCTACTTTTTATCTAGGTCCCTAATAGTTCCTCAGCTGCGATCCTTTCTAACCTAGAAAAGGTGTCTGCCAAATGATCCAGTTTGAATAGTCCAGATTGGGACAAAATCCACCTTGGGAAGATTATAGGTTTCATTGAATCCACCATCAAAGAAAAACATGCTCCTGAAGGTTTTTGTGGAAGCAGTTCCCAGGCTTTGCTTTATGCCTGAAAGAGTAGAGACATGTCTGCTGCCTGGGCTTATTTTGCCCACAAACGGTGGAGTCCTTGGGTGGAGTTAGGTCAAGGGAGGTGGCAGCGCTCAGTATATCCTCATGCCACCACATGCTAAAAGACTTAATATTATCTGGGGTTTGGGTAGCACAGCTGATTGAGATGAGCAAAGTCCAAGTTCTACATTTTCCAACCTGTTTATTGCTCCAGAAAAAGTCATTTCTCAGAGCCATCTGATCAGAGGTGGTATTCAGCAGGTTGTGACCAGTTCTGGAGAACCGGTAGCAGAAATGTTGAATAGTTCGGAGAACCGGAAAATACCACCTCTGACTGGAGATTTTACAGTATCCTTCCCCTGCCACGCCCACCAAGCCACGGCCACAGAACTGGTAGTAAAAAAAATATGACACCTACCACTGAATCTGATGTTTATTTTTATTATATCATTGTTGCGCTAATAGTCTAAGCAATAATATGAAACCCTGTTCAGATTCTTGTATTTCACAAATGTCATAGAATTGAACTTGAATAAAGGTGTCCAGAAAAGGAAAACTCTGTTTTGCAGTTTCACTATATACTTAGAGATGAATGGTAATTAATCCAGGGTTCCCCAATCCCCTGGGCTATGGACTGGCACTGGGCCGCAAACTGGGCTGCAGAAGTGATAGAGGCCCCATACCAATATGTATGGGATGCAGGCAGCGCGAAAAACCATGCCACTCCCACCCCGCCGGTGCTCTCCACAAAATTGGTTCCTGGCTCCTAAAAGATTGGGGGCTGCTGGTTTAATTTTTGACTGTGCCCAGAAGGGCATATACTGTTTGGGGCCTAATTATTTCAAATTTATAGCCTTCTTTTTTATTCTGGAACTCAAGAGAGCCCATGTAGCTTTTCCTTCTCCCTATAATTCTGTGAGATACATTGGATTGAGAGTGTGACCGACCAAAAATAATTCTGGTAATGTGTTTGTTAAGAGTGGAGCCGAATCTATGTCTCTCTGCACCTAGTCCAGCATGTGAACTGTTACACCACATTAGCCTTGTTCTGTTGAAACTATCCTTTTAGATTTAGACTATGTGCTAGATTTATTATACAAATAATGGATTTTTTTCAGTCCTAACATTTTGGTAGATAAGATTTTGTAGCGGCAATCGACTATATTACTTTTAAAGGGCAGCATAATCTGAATATTTCCTTATTGCAAATTTAATTGCCAGCATTATGACTAATGCAGCTAGAAAGCAGGCATTATGTTGCTTGCCATAAAGTTTCCATGCCCAATTGAAGGTGCTAGTGAACACTTAAGTTTACAACATTGTCAGCCAAAATGTGACTAACTGATTTACATTTTGGCCAATTATGTGAAGACTACTTAATATGGTCTACTTAAAAAAAAAAACATTATTCAGCAACATAGTATTATAGTGTCTCGCATAGCCAATTAAAGGACCACCTCTCCCTGTATGAAAGAGAAAGGCTTCAGAGGGGCCTTTCTCCCAAAGATGAGAATATCCCAGTATATTTGGGGGAATGACGTATTTGATACAACTCAGATATTTGTTATTTGCCTAGGTATTTTAATTTAGTTCATCTGTTGTCATTAGTACTGTGATCATCAGTGTTTATTTTAACCTCATATGATTTACAAGTCATGCATTTTATACTCCTGCCCCTCCTCCATACAATTTCGACATAAATAATAGTACAGAATGTTTAGATAAGATTAACACGAGGGTCTGGTAATGTTTCTGAATTTCATAGTTCATAGGCAGATATACATGTTCCAGGATCCAATCTGGGTCAGTCACCAGGGATTTAATCTTCTGAGCTTTTGGACTCTTGCTGGAGCCCATCTTTAGGGAACTTCTCTCTACCAGAATGTGTCACATGTCTACATGAATGTGTCTATAGATTCTGATAGGAGTTCCTTGAGGATGGACTTCAGCATGAGTCTGAAAGCAGGGAAGACTAAACCTCTGGTCCTGTTGTTCCAGCCAAATTGGATAGCAATAGCACTTACTTATATACTGCTTCACAGTGCTTTACAGCCCTCTCTAAGCGGTTTACAGCCTATTGCCCCCAAGAATCTGGATCCTCATTTTACCAACCTTGGAAGGCTTAAGTCAACCTTGAGCCTGGTGAGATCTGAACTGCCAAATTGCAGTCATCCGGCAGTCAGCAGAAGCCTACAAGACTGCACTCTAACCACTGCCCCCGTGTCTCTTGATTTTTTTTTTAACACCCAAATCTCACAACTCTAATCTAGCCCTCTCCAATATAGAACATTAATGACACACTTGAACTACAACTGTGGCTGGGCTGGTGGGAATCCAGAGAGATAGTCCTGATTTGAAGGTGTCCTAGATGTAGGGGATGGCCAGGTTAATCTGAATTGAATGCACAGCTTGTCTTAAGAGGAGTAATTTCTTTTGCAGATTGTGAAGACTTCTTATGGAAAATCTTTTTTCCTGACCATATCTGCTCTATTCATCACGCCAAAAACTGCTGGTGCCCGTGTGAAAATGAGTGAGCAGCAAATGCTTCTATGGCCCGGAGATGTGGATGTGCTACAGCCAGCAGTCAGCCTCCCAAAAGGCAGCCGAGCCCACATCACTCTGGGTTGTGCCAGTGGGGTAGAAGCTGTCCAAACTGGCCTTGACCTCCTTGAATTTGCAAAACTGGAAAAGGCAGGGAACAAAGGCGAGGAGGTTGGGGAGATTGGTGGCGGAAAACTTTTGTCCTTTGGGAATGGAATGTGGATGCTTTTGCTTTCAAAAAAGATTGAGTTGAGAGCCATCTTTGGTGGCTACTACGGAAAGGGAAAACTGGTGCCAACTCAAGGTAGCAAAAGGGGATCACCCTTCAATTCCTGTGTCATCATCTAAGGGCTCTTTTGGTGTCTGCAGCCTTGTTTTCACAATATAATGTGTAACCTTTTATAAACTCTTCCCCATCAACAACACAAATGATAGCATTCCATGACTAAAGCAATTTCTTAATTCTAGTGATGTCCTTTTTAAAGGAATATTTCCTCCAGAGATCTGGATTCCTCAAATGGAAAACAGCATTTTTTTATACTTTAAAAATTAATACAACTGAATATATTCTAGCCTTTTGAGGTTTCCTTTTCTTAATATAAATAGCCACTACAAGTTTGCCAGAACTGGGTCTATTCCTGTGCTGTAAATCTATCTGGTCCCTTACAGCAATATTACTGTTACAGCAGGAGAGGGAAACTGATTGTACTACTTCAGAGCAGAAGGAAGGCAGAGGGGACAAATAGAACCACATTTTCTCAATGATTCCTGACATAAATATTCCGAGAGTAGAAAACTAATACTGTAGATAACCATTTTCAGCAAAGGTATGGGGGGGGGGGATATTTAAAAGTTCAAGACCAACCTTTTGTATCCTCATGTAATCTTTTCATTTGAATTCAAATTCAGGGTAGACTTAGAAAGTTTGGATCAATTATACTGTACTTCTTCCCGTAGTTTAAAAACACTATGACAAAGTTAAGTGAATAATATATTAGGCTTTAAATTTTCAGCTTCACTTTCCAAGTTAGCCACAGAGTAACTAGTTGGTTTCAAGGAATCTCTTCTCAGCTGAGATTCAGAATCAAGGGCGGCCATCTCTGATCAATCTCAGCTTGATGTTAAGGGAAACGTTACCTTTCTGGTTTGTAGTTTTAGAAGGTTCACTTCTAAAAGAATAAGGCCTCAATGTTTTGAACATAGTAAGATCTTGCTAGTATTCCTAAGTACCAGCAGCTTTTTCCCAGATTTTTTAAAAATAGGAAATGTAAAGCTTCCCCTGCTTGCAATTTTATGAGCTTTTGAAACGTATGTTAAGCATTAACAGAGGCCTATATTTTAATGAAAGATCTTGTTAATGTGCAACTCATGATTTCATGTTTTAGGCTTGTGCCAGTCTGTGATGTTGCTATTGTATAGGTTATAGGTCATTGAAAGCTGGCACATTAAATACTGTTGCCTGCAGCCCCCCGCAGCATTTCCTCTTGTACAGACCTTTAAGAGATTTATATTTTTCTTATCACCTTAGTTCTGCAGCATGGGCATCTACTAACAGGAATATAAAACTAGAGAATAGGAATCTGCCTTGCAGTCTCTGTTATCCATCATGTCTTGTATTGCTTTAAATGACAGGCATTAGATTTTCAGTAGAGATCTTTATATGTTGTCTGATTAAAATACCAATAAACTATATTTCAACCATTGCCCATGAAAATCAGGGACTAAGATTTCCCTGTACTTTCAGATCAGTTTTTTCAACAAGAATATTTGAACAGGTGTATTATCCAATAGCAAAATTAGTTGAATTGACTGGATCCGAACTTGCTGCAATTGATCTAAATTATAAGTAGCCCAAAGTATTGTATCTGAGAAAATATCTGAGTATAGAGGGAGACACAAGTAAGGATATATCTATGATTTTAATTGCATTGGATAAGCAATCCACCAGAGCTTCAAATTTTATGAAAACAGTGCACTAAAATATGTATCAATGAACATGTTAGACAATAGATGGTGTATTCAATGCTTTGATATACAGCTTTGTTTTTTGAAGAATATAATATATTCATGATGCAATCAAATGCATATAAACTTAGAAGTAAATCCTTCATGTTCAAAGAGGTATATTAAGGTAATATACAAATTCCCTAACATGTTATTTATATATACTGATTCTAACTTCTGTCAACATTAGCGAGCATAACTGTTGCCCCTGTTGTCAATGACTGTTGTAAAAGTTGAAGTTCAGAGCACCTAGTACTTGAAACTACTCAACATTTCAAAGCATATTTCAAGGAAAAAATTAGCATTTAAAACTGACAATTTATATCTGTTTGATTTTATAACATAGTTATATCCAGCATGGCATGAGTTAAACCTGTAAAATAAATGCAAGCCAAACATGTTCTAATCTCAGCCGAACCACATCCTGTTGAGTGATATATATTTTATGCATACAACTGATTTAAGTTCTCTCAAGTAAGTCTAGTTGAACACATAGCCCGCTTACTTTCCTTTGAGCAGGATCGGTATAATAGTATGTTAGCGACCAAAGTGTCTAGATTATAGCTGTCTTTCACATCGTCTGTTGCAAAGCTGGGCAGTAGACACTTGAACTAATCCCACTTTTGAGTTGGTTTATTCATAACATTAAGATTAGTCTTCCCCTTTATCTCTAACACAAAGGATTTAATCTCACCGAATATGACCTTTGTTTTGAGAAAAAAATCTCCAAGACCAGCTTTTGCAAAATGATGCCCTTCAATTAGGTTGAATGACAGTGTTGCTCATTCATAATCAGTATTATCTTTGTTGTGAATGACTTTAAGACAGGTTAATTTTGGATTATAGAAAATCAAACATATGACAAGGACATTGGATTAGGGCAGACTCTTCTTTAACCATCAATGTGAATACAATGACAGTAATAGTTGTCTATGTAATTGCTGGTTGTGTTTTTGCTATGCTCACATTCAATATGCTCTAGATGGGAGTTAGTTTAAAATGGGAGCTTGTTAACCAATTATATAATGAAAGCTATGAAATAAGTTACAAAACATACATCACTTGAAACTTAGAATTATAGACATCCAATATATAAAGGAAGATAGGTGGGTCATTTACTTTTCTTGAATGCTTAGCTATACAAGAAAAAACTGGTTGTGCTATTGCTCAGGAAACATAATGTAACTTGCATTTGCAAAATATTTGTGTCAGTTCTTAAATATTTGTTGTTTAAACATCAGAATTACTGTTAATACAACTCAAATATGGTCAAAGCTTTTTTTAAAAAAAACCACATAGAAGTAGCACATTTCAATGGTTCTGATTGATGTAACTTGAAACAATAATTCCTGTTTTGCTTTACAAAGTAGTTAAGATTCATAGTGACTGTAAAATACACTGAAATAAATGTATTAACATGCAGAAAATGTTTGTGTTGATATTTACATTAGGCCGATTGATATGGGACTCTTTATTCAAGCCTTTGCTACCTGAAGTTTCAGATTATTTGCAGAGAAGAGATTGGACTTTTCATAGGTTTATAGGGGAAGGAATTAAATTGGGTACAGATGTTAACTGTAGTTTACGAGTCATTTCTTCTTATGAAAGATTCTCATGGATGCTGCTTTGGAAGTGCTCCTTGAGTCTCCGGATGACCCCGTAGTGAAGCAGCCATCCACAGGAAGAGAGCCAGAGCACTTCTACAGCAGCTATATGAGGCAAGAAGGCATGGCTCCTTTAAGGATTCCAAGAGAAGTAATTCAAATACAGACCTGTGTTTGTGAAGCACTTTTTAAAAAAGAAATTGAACAGTGCTAATACATAATCAAAACCTCTGGATCTTTTCTCAATTTTAGCATTGGTAGTCTTCCTGTCTACTTTTCTTACTGTAAAAAACAAACAAATAACTAAACAAAAAAAGCTACTACAATTTTAACATTAACCACCACAGATTTTTGGGATTCCCCCAACCCCCAATTATTCAATCCAGCATCATGTCACCACACTCACAGTCTCAGCAGTGTCTACTCAGTTTAAAGAAGCATAAGTCACCAATGAGATCCGGAGTGTTTATTTTTTGTACATCATATACATTTTATAATAAAATTAATATCAATTGCATATGGGTTTGCTTCAGTCTGGTTCAAAATTCTGCATATAAACACATCAGGAATCCTGCTTAATGAACAGTCGCCACTTTTTGTTTAAATAATCTTCATCTTTGATAAGTGAAAAGGTTGCAGTATGGCTATCCATGTGTCTGAAATTATCCACAGGAGAGAGTAAAGGGGACAGGATGCTATTTTAAAAACAGAACATGCAACTGATGTATTTTTAAGAAGTCTAGAATGGTATGCTATCTATTCCTATCCAAACAAGCCTTTCTTCAGGTGGCTTGAACATTAGCCTACCTGTCTTCTGTTCAGGCATTCCTTGTAAATGTATTTGTACAGCAAAGAGGCTACAATGCATGCAAGAACACCTGTTCAAGTGTACAGGAAAATAGGCAAAAATGGCAACTTTCCCTAAAATATGCTGCTTTTAGATCTACATCACCAAAGAAATTGTCTCATGCATTGCTACATGAGAAAGTTTTGGCTCTTAATTCCCTGCTTATAGATTTTGTGTACACATATTATGGGGAAAAGTGGTACTTTTAAGTGGTTAAGTGATATTACTTAACATTACCAGCAATATATGCCTTCCTCCTGTGGCAACCTAACTAGCAGTAAAAAAAATGTTCGAGACCCTCTCTATATCTGTTCTTTATTCTCAGGAAGTTCCTATAAGGGTAATATCAAAAAGGCAATGTATCATTTCACCTTATTATCACTACAACATTCTGACAATGTATATCTTTATAGGTATACTCCAAGCCTCAGCCAGATAGATAATTAATCCTTTATCAGTCACACATAGTTTTTGGTACCTCTTAAATATAGCTTGGCTAATTAAAAAATGAAAACAAAATTTGAGAGCTAAGAACCAAATTCAAATTATAAAATGATTATTACTAGGGTGGAGAATTTCTAAATCAGGTTATAGATGGCCTAATATATAATGCAAACGTTGTATCAGAACATCCTTAAAGACTGCAATGAGAATTGTAGATAATAAAAAACAGATTAGAAAGGCAAAGTAATACAGCATTCATCACTTTTTAGGTTGCAATCGGTTTTAAGATCCAGGAACCATTTCTCATTGACCTTTGGATCTGACACCCCCCCCCGCCACCGCCCCACAAAAAAATCTTATTACTACTACCAGCTGTGTAGAGATGATCAGAAAATCTGGCTGCCATCCACGGAAACTTTTAATATTCTTATATTTCTGTGTGAAGTTTTAAAGTAAAATTATTGCAGAGCCAGAACATCTTAAAAAATAGAAAATTCACAGGATGCCAGGATTGATTCTTGACACCTCAGTCTGAAGATGATATACTGTTGTTTTAATTTCTTTCCATATAAAGTGATGAAGAGGGAGATCGTTGATTGCATAGCTTTTTGTGCCAGTTTCTGATTATCCTGTTTATCATAACTCTTAATTGAGAATGGATACAATTCCACCAAATAACTCATTTAAATATATGCCTTTAACCAAATACAATAAATTCTACCAACAGAAATTGAGTACCCAATGAAATCCTGAACAATTCAGTATTTACCATTTGCTGGCCAGGAATAGGCATGCAATCTTGACTGAGGTCAAGATCCTGAGTTTATTCTCTTCCCTCTTTAGCTTCTCATTTAATTCCTGGCCATTTCTCAATAGACTGCATTTCTTTGATATCTTGTTATGGAACTATTAAAGGAAATGATGCAGACAAAATCTAATTTACTGCTATTTCTAAAGTTTGTCAGAACCCATTAACTGAAAAGTTTGAAAAATAGAGGATTATTCCCAGGACATAATCTGAGCCTCTCTTGAAATAATGTTTCATATTGGACCAATATATAACATTTCATTGAGCAGAAGTCCAAGCACTGCATAAGAATAGTTTAAAAATGATTACATTTTTGAAATGATTACCTTTTCCCTAGCCTCATAAAATAGAAAAGCTGCTATAATGTTTGCAACATAAACATCACTCATTTCTTATATTGAATTCATCAGAGTATTGATCTTCCAGGCTAACCTTTCCCAATTTGATATTCGCTAGATACACTGAGATTTCAGATTCCCTCATCTCCCAATATGGTCTGAATTGAGGAAAACTAAGAGACTACAAGGAGGAGTTTCAGTTAATGGTGAAAACTGCACCTAATATAAAGTGGTTCAATATTGTTAGAAATGATAGTCTACTTATGATTTTTACTACTGTGGAAAAAGGAATGAGCTAATTGTCCACAGCTGAAATGATATTATGGATTAATATTTGTCAATATGGTACAAATATTGAGCAAAACGTAAAAAGATATCAGGAACTTCAGTGTGGTTAGCTACCAATAAGAGTTCCCTCCCCTCAAATAATGCTGAATTTCTTCTTTTAAACTTTCAACACATTGTTGGTGAATTTTGAAAAATCTTCTCAACATCAAAAATGGTTTCTGAAATTCCAATTAATTTTAAGAGATTCCAACACTTACAGTGGACTTGAACATGCAAGTAAGAACCATGACATCACATGTTGATGTGGAAATGTGAAATATGCACTGGAGATCTAATAACACACAGACGCGCACACACACACACCCTTCATAACACTTGACAATCACTTCAGACTTTATGCGCTTTTCAATGAAATCAAGTGTACATGTTGATCTGGAAGCCACCATCAAAATGGGATGTCCATGCAAGAAATCAGCCCTTACCATTTTCCTGAAGCACTCAAGCAATTGGAAACATAAAGTGTTCCTCAAAGAAAGAGACTCTGGGAATATTAAGAGAAAGTGCTGAGAAGAGGCAACCCTTATTCCAAAAATGAGTCAGGGAATAATGCAGTAAAACTTCTTTGTATTTCTCAAGTGTCTGAAATGTTTCTGGAAATAAGGTTTCAATATGGCTACAGTCAGTACAATAAGACCAAAGTAAAAAAAGCAAAACTCATTTCACTTTCCCCACATTGTGAACCCAATAAAAGCATGGCATATCCAGTTTTTAAAATGTAAGGATTCCCTGAATGAAGTCCCAGCAGCTTAGGAATCTTAAATTACTTAATGGAGAAATCTACAGATGTTTCTTTCTTACTCTCTTTTATATAAAATTAACAACAAAATAAACAAAAATGTGTATTTCTTAATAGTTCCCTTCCCTTCAAATGCTGGTTTTCTCATCACACTCTAAAGCACACACACAAAAAATTGATGTTTCCAACAGAAAAAATGCCACAGCCCTAAGAAATGCTGAGATGCAATGAAGGGAAGATGAAACTTGAAATTAAATGAAGCAGGTCAGGGAAACTGTGGATTTCAGTGGATGAAATGGATCTGTTCCTCAGTTTAGCCAAACTGGAAAAAGAAATTCCCAGGTCCAGAAGCTGAAAGACATAGATGTACAGATTAGCAAATTAGAAAACAAATCATTAAAGCAATTGTTGCAATATTGAGATCTTTTAAACAAAGACAGATTCTACAGCCCATTCAGAAAAAGCATGAAGTAATGTATTTTTCGGACTATAAGATGCACATTAGCTTTAGAGAAGGAAAACAAGAAAAAAATTGCCTCCCAGCAATTTGCCTCCTTGCAGCAAACAGCCTGGTCAGCTTCAGCATAGCCTGATTTAGCACGAGCAACTGAGTGGCAGCTGGATCGGAATACCACCCATGGCCCCCATTTTCGGCCTCCGCGCATCCCATTTTCAGCCTGTTCCAGGTGGTGGGTAAAACGGGCAGAAAACAGGATGCGTAGAGGCAGAAAACTGGGCACCCTGAAGCTAAAATGGGGTGCACAGAAACAGCAACAGGCAGTGGTGACAATGGGTGGCGTCGGGCAATGGCGATTCCTGCAGCTTAGAACAGCTGATGGGAGGTATTCTGGGAAGTCAATCCAACCGCCAATCAGCGGCTCATACTAAATCAGTCTGTGCTGAAGCTAACCAGGCTGTTTGCTGCAAGAAGGCAAATTGCTGGGAGGCAGAGGCCGAAGTATGGGGGCTGGTGGGTGGTGGGGCTTTGGCAACTTTCACTATATAAGACGCACAGACATTTTCATCCACATTTTTGGTGGAAGGGAGGCAAGTGCATCTTATAGACTGAGAAATACGGTATAACATAAAATTTATAATTATTATGGGAACAGATGTGTTTTTTGAGTGACTGGCAAGGACAGGAAATAAGATTTCCTAGCAAATCAAACCTTAATTAAGCAAACAAATCCCCAACTGATATTGTGCATATAAAGCCCCAATTTCTTGGCCTTCTGCAAAGGGACCAAACTTGGCTTTGTGGTCCTGCAGGAGGGCCCATGAGGGAGTCCACTCCCCACCTTGTCAGAACCACTGTTAAAAGGTCATTTTAGGATTTTTATCCTTTTGATGTTTAATTGTCATTAGTCTATAATTTAACAAAATTTTAATCCTAATTTAATGCTAATTTTTGTTGTTTTATTTATTGATATTACATTGTATAGAAATAGCAATAGCACTCAGACCTATATACTGCTTCACAGTGCTTTATAGCCCTCTCTAAGCAATTTACAATCAGTGTATTGCCTCTAACAATCTACCTAGAGCCCCAATTTGAGGCAGATGGATGTTTAGAAATATGAAATATTAAATCAATACATAAAATATAAGCTTTGGGCACAGCACACAAAGCCCTTAAAGCATATTTCTTGGCAACTTTAGAGGGAACTAAGATCTGGAGAGTGAAATACTTTATGGTCCCATGCTGGAACCATATTTTGTATGAATGAAACAGCCTCCACTGAATTCCTGAGACCAGAAATTAATAGGTTCCCCTGTTGTCCCAAAATGAAGGGATCAAGGGACACGGCCTCAACTGACACCTGCGGATATGCAAAAGCAATATACATATGATATGTGAAAGACAACCCACCTTCAAAACTAAAACTTCCAGGTGTTCCAAAGAAAGCTTTGAAGATATTATTAGCATCAAAATCTATTGGGAGGTATAGGTGAAGAAAAAACAAACAAACCAGCAGGTGAGAAGGAATTCTTGTTTAAATTTACATTTACAGTCATAAAAGTTCAGAAAAGCTTCTATAATATTTTGCAGCATTTTCTTTTTTCTATGTTTGCCTTGCCCTCAATCTCCAAACATTATTATATTAATATATTAAGCTATTAAAACATTGAATGATCAAATTCAATTTTGTATAACTTTCATCAGTAAAAATGTAGTGTTCTCTCAAAATTTTGAGAATATACTGACTTTCCTTGTTCCCATTCCATAACTATGCACCTATGCACAGAAAGGTCACTAATTAAAAGTCCTCTTTAGCACTCACCTCCCATATTCATGCCATCTTCCTCTAGATCCTGGCCACTGTCATAGCGGGCCTTTTTCTTTGGATCAGAGAGAATGGTAAAGGCTTCACCAACTTCTTTAAATTTCTTTTCTTCCTCTTTTTGGATTTCAGCACTTGCTCCACTATGCCGATCTGCCAGAAAAATTAACATGTCTGGTTGGTGGGTGAGACAGTGTGTGAGAGAGCAAAAAAGCCTAACTGTAATGAAAAAGAATAATTGGTTCTAATAACCAGGTGGGGAAAAAAAGATTTTATCAAAGAGATACAAATTTAGTGTAAAGAGAAGCTTAATTTACTAGTTTATTAATTACCGTATATACTCGAGTATAAGTCAACCCAAATATAAGCCGAGGCACCTAATTTTGCCACAAAAAACTGGGAAAACTTATTGACTCGAGTATAAGCCGAGTTTTTCAGCACATTTTCGAGTATATACGGTAAGTACTGAAGCAGATTTGTGTTATTAGATTTTTCTCCTACCTTTCTATTTAACCAATTACTTAGGGAAAATATATTAAAAACAATATATTAAAAACTTTTCTGAGTTGCCTTTCACATGGATCTGAACATCCAAACAGGTTTGCAATGGAAATCATGGTTCTTCAAGCTATTTAAAACTTTAAAGATTAATACCAATGAATCAAACTCTTTCCTACAAAGCAATTGGTAATTAGTGCCAATATTTTAGGGCAGGCAATATATGATCTGAAAATTATTTATTACATTTTCTAATCTGTGTAGATACCAATTAATTCCAACAATATATGACCTTTTTGTGTGTTCTCTAGCAGATGTCAGCTCTCTATTGTAGCTTGGAAACAACAAAGATAAGTGGAGTACAGTTGTATGGTGAGAATTGTAACAATTCTTCATAATGTTCTAAATGAAGAACTTGGAGAGAATGAAAAAAAAAAAACCTTTTCCATTATCAAAGACAAAAAAAAAAAATCAGGGGAATTGCAACTAGAAAGAAAAATCCCCTCCCCTCCAAGTAACAGGAACAAAGAATGATCTGTGAATTTTGAGAGACTAATGTATGCACTTGTACTGAACTAACCCACAAACCCTATAGAACAGCTTTAGTTTGAGTGAATATCTCCCCCCCTCTCGAGTTCCAATCTCCCATTATTCCTCTTATTTCTCCCTTACTGTGTTTGCTTTTCATGCCCAGGAATAATGCATATAAACAAATTTCCAATTAGTTAATGACCAACAGCAGCAATAAAACTGCCCTTGAAATAACAGTGGAGTTTGGGGTCCGTGGCAGGATTCCACAGCTAGGGCAATGCATGATAGTCATAGCTATATTTCTTCAAAGCCAGATGGAGGAGAAAAAAAAAGAGTAGGAGAAAAGCCTATAGTTGTGATGGCGAACCTACAAAGAATCCTCGTCCCACCTCAGCTCTGCCGTGCATGTGTGCCTCCCGCCAGCCAGCCGGCTGGTGTTTGAGTCTCTGCTGCGTATGCATGGAAGACGAAGCACACACGTGGGGGACAAGGCACATGCGTGGGGCAGGGCACATGCACAAGGATGTGTGTGCATGCACGAGTGGGGCGCATGCATGGGGATATGGACGCATGCTCGGTGGGTAGGGCACATGCACGGGGGTAAAGTGTATGTGCGGGAGCAGGGTGCATGTGCAGGGTGCATACACGGGGGACGCATGTGCATTGCATTTTTGGGATGTGCACGTGAGTGTAGGCACTCAGTGCTGAAAAGGCTATATATCACTTTTGCTCTTTTTCTATCATATTACATCATTTAGCAACTAAATTTCAACTCTATTATCTTTCATGATGTTATTCCATAACTGCAGCAATGATTTTTTTTTCTTTTTACCAATTCTATTGGCAATATCATTTTCTACTCAGGAGCAAGTCAAGATCACAACCCTATAGACGTAATCCTTGAGTTACTAATATAATGGAGCCTGCCAATTACTTTTGTAATCTGAGGATTTGTTAATTGGATCATGTTAAATGAACACGATCCCTCCCTACTTTATCCAATGCAGGAGGTGACAGGCGGGTGGACTCTGGCGGTGATTAATGCTTCTCTATAGGAGGGGATGGTGCCCCAGCACTTTAAGGAGGCTGTGGTCCGGCCCTCTTCTTAAGAAGCCATCGCTGGACTCCACCCAGTTGGATAATTTCCGACCTGTCTCCAATCTTCCCTTTTTGGGGAAGGTTATTGAGAAGGTGGTCGTGCAGCAGCTCCAGAGGTTTCTGGATGAAATGGATTATCTTGACCCCTACCAGTCAGGATTCAGGCCTGGATTTGGGACAGAAACAGCACTGGTTGCACTTTTAGATGATCTCTAGCAGGAGCGGGATGGGGGGTAGTGCATCCATCCTTGCTCTACTTGACCTCTCAGCGGCTTTTGATACCATTGACCATGGGATTCTCCTGGAACGGCTTCGGGGATAGGAGTGGGAGGCCTTGTGCTGTCTTGGTTCACTTCCTTCCTCTGCGGCCGCTCTCAGTCAGTGTTGATAGGAGGGGAGAGATCCAACCCTTGCCCACTGCTTTACGGGGTTCCGCAGGGCTCGGTACTCTCTCTGCTCCTGTTCAAAATTTATATGAAACCACTAGGTGAGATCATCCATCACCATGGACTGAGGTATCACCAATATGCTGATGATACTCAGCTGTATGTCTCAGCCCGTGGTGAGTTAAGTGTTGCTGTGTCCTCCCTCTCGCAGTGCCTGGAGGCTGTTAGGGGATGGATGGGTTGAAACTAAACCCTTACAAAATCGAGTGGTTCTGGGTCTGGGGTTCATTGATTCAGGGAGAATTACCACCTTTAGTCTTGGACGGGGTGGCACTACCCAAACAGACCTTGTGCATAATCTAGGGATTCTCCTGGACTCACGACTCCTGTTCGAAGAGCAGATGGCGGTCGTGGCCAGGAGGGCTTTTGTGCAACTGAGGGTTGTGCACCAGTTATACCCTTTCCTGGATCAGCGGTCCCTACTCACAGTCACTCATACCTGGTCACTTCCCGTCTTGATTATTGCAACGCGCTCTACATGGGGCTGCCCTTGAAGAGCATCCAGAAGCTCCAGTTGGTGCAAAATGCAGCGGTCCGCATGGTTTTATGCAGACCCCAGTGTGCACATGTATTACCTCTCCTGCAGGAGCCACATTGGTTGCCGATTTTGCTTCCGGGTGCAATTCAAGGTGCTGATTGTCACCTTCATGGCTTGGGTCCGGGTTATCTGAGGAAACATCTCTTGCCAATGACATCTACCCAACCCATTAGAACTAAGAGGCAGGGAATGCTGCGGGTCCCACCCCTGAGGGAGATACACCTGGTGGGACCTAGAAGAAAGGCCTTCTCTCTGGTGGCTCTGTCTCTCTGGAACATCATTCTCCCAGAGATTAGAATGGCCCTCTCATTAATACTATTCATAAAGGCATTGAAGACCTTGTTTTGCCAGCGGGCCTGGGGAACCCAGAGAGGGAGGGAACCCATCAAATGGCTAGTGTGATCCGGTGTCATCGGGGTGGGAATTGGTTTTTTTTGTTTTGTTTTTTGTTTTCCCAAATTTTGTTCTATTGTACTTTACTAATTTATTTGATTCTGTTAGTTCTTATTGTTTTTATTTTTTTGTTTTAAATATGATTTTATATTATGTAAACCGCCTCAAGTCGCCATGGGCAAATAGGCGGCAATATATATCAAATAAATAAATAAATAAATAAATTGTTAAACAAATGCACAGGTCATTAACTGCACATGAGGTATCTCAAAGTGGGAAGACCATGGGGAGGGCCTAGTGCTTCCAACCACCCAAGGCCTCTCCTGACCCGCTGAGATTTCTCGTGTTTCTCCCCCCACTCCCCATTCTGCCCCGTGGGCCTGACAGGTACCAGGCCTGTGGAGAATCACTTACCTTTTGAAGATCTTGATGATCAAACCTCTCCAGCCTCTCCACTGTGGTTTCTTTCTCTGCTCCCGGCGCTCCAAAAATGGAATGATGAGAGAGCTGAGGCAGAGTGGGACCAGTCCACCCTGCTCAGCTTGGCTGACTCACCGAGGCTGCCTGCGCAGAACACCATATCCGCTTTTGGAGCGCCAGGCAGCCTCAGTGAGTTTGAAGGAGCCTTGAGGAAAAGGGAGGGAGGCCTGTGGGAGCACAATCTCATGGCCCAGAAGGCTTCCATCCTTTTGCAAAAAGCTTTTGGTGAGAAGAACAGAGGCTGCCTGTGCAGGCTTCCATTCTTCATGTGAAAAGCTTTTTGGAAAAAGGACAGAAGCTTTTTGGGGGATGATTTCACATCCCTACATGCTTCTATCCCCTTTGCTCAAAACTTTTGGCATAGAGAACAGATGCCTGCATCCTCTCACAGGCCTCTGTTCTCTGCATCAAAGGTCCTTTGCAAAGAGGACAGCAGGTATGTAAGAAGATGGCTGCTTTTCTGCCACATGGCCCTGACTCTATAGATCTTTGAAAGATAAGTGAACAAGAGGCGACAGGATGGAGTGGAGGGGGGCAGCATCTCTGTGGTCGGTCATAAGGGTGAATGACTGTCATGCTGCTGCAACATTCATAACTTTGGTACTAAATTGTAACTACTTTGGGGAAGGGGTATCATAACTTTAAACCAGTTAAGTGAACTGTCATAACCTGAGGATTACCTGTAGTTTCCTAGTTTCTTTGGAACTTCTATAATTTTTTGATCTGAAAGTTTATTCCAGTATTATATTTTTATGAAAATAATAGGAATTTTATATTTGAGTTATTTAAACGTGCTTGGATAAATGCCATGCAGTAATAGGGGGAGGGTGTGAAACCAAGACAGAGCGGCGCCATAGGCGGTATTTAAAACGCTGAAGTAGCTACAACAAAGTAACAGATTTAACTGACTGAACTGACACAATTTATCCTACAAGCTTCGGGAAACTTGAGAACATTGTTCTATTGGAGGAGATAGTTCCCTTTCTCTATTTGAAGGGAATCAGATCAAGCTAATTAAGGAACACTAAAACACAAGTAAAATCGGAAGCCTATGAATGAGTGGGAAATTTGCTTAATGGTAGCTGTTACTCAGAAATTTTTCGTCCCCCACTTCCGATGTGCTCGAAGTGAAAGCTCCCAAATTGTAAAGTGAAAACTAAAAACTCTTATTTCTAGAATCTCCCCTTTTCTTTCCTTTTACTCTCTTCTTTGTATATATATTTACTTAAAATAGACTCCTTTCCTTTGTATTAGTTGGTGTTATGTTATCTTGAAATATGCTTGCTTTTCTTCTGTCTTTTTTTCGATAAATATGCAGATCCAGTAAAGAAATAGAAGATTGTTAAAATATTGGATTAATTAATCTAGTTAAGTTAATAGCAATAGGGACTGTTATATTTTGAATGGGAATATAGGGGAGATAGTAAGAACATTAAGTATAAGTTATTTAACAACTTTAGAGCTTTCTAGATTAATATTATAATTTATAGTGTTACTATATTTATGAAGGTAATATATTTTGTAGTTAAGGTTGCTTTATATTTAAGTTTAATCAGAGAAATACATATACATCTTACCAATTAGTTGAGAATATAGTTATTTAATAGATTGATAGATCTTGGTTAATATTAGTAACAGAGTTAAGAATACTGAATGCCAAATTGGAACAATATATTTAGCATTGTACAACAACAAAAACAAATTATAAAGGAAATGACTTCTACAACCACCACAGCACTGAAATCCGGCAGAAAGGTCAACCCTACAATAACAACCACCTTGGCAACAACTTCACCTATGGCACAAAAAACAATAGAGGAAACACTACCAATAGAGAAGCAAACTAGCATTTCGAATGCTAACATCCAAGCAATGTTTCTAACCTTACAGGACTCACTGACAAGACTGCAAGAAACAATGATTAAAAATCACAGTGAAACAAGAGCAGATATTAACAATCTGAAGGAAGAGATGGGGAAACTAAAGGCAGAAATGAAGGCAGACATCTTCAAAGTAGAGGACAAAGTGGGAGTATTGCAGCAGGCCTTGGAGAAAAATGAAGTTATAATAAAAGAGGTAGAGAAAAGAATGGAAAGAACGGAAAGAGAATTAGAAAGAGTGGATGAAGATCTTAAAAACACGAGCAAAGAAATGGTGGACTCATTGATCCTCCTAGAGATGGACAAGGCAACAACCTACTTAAGATTTCAAAATGTAGCAGAATCCAAAGAGGAAGACCTGGAATATTTGATGGCAGAGATTCTGGCCGGTCTATTGAAGATGGCTAAAGATGACATTCAAAAAGAGTTCGATGAAGTTTACCGGGTCAATACAAACTATGCAAGACGCCACAAATGCTCTAGGAAAGTCCACATACGATTCACCAGAAGATGTGTCCGAGATATGATATATAGAACCTCTAGAGATAAAACAATAACGTACAAAGACAAAGAAATTGTGATCCTTAAACAGATACCGAGGAGAGTAAGGGAACAAAGGCGTGATTACAAGTTTCTGGCAGCCTACCTAAACCAGAAAAGAATTACATTCAAATGGCTTATTCCAGAAGGGATGCTAGTGTTGTGGAAAGAGAGGAAAATCAAAATAGACACTACGGAAAAAGCTCAGGATTTTTACGAACGGATGGTGGGCCCACAGGAGCAAAGTAGTAGGGAGGAATTGGAAACAAATTGTCAAGAAGAACTTGGTGGATACAAAAATAGTACTGGAACTGCAGGGAACCAAGAGAATACTCATTTACAACAAAAGACAGAAGGAACCACACAAACACAAGCGCAAGAAGAGAGAGGAATTGTTACACATCAAAGAGCGAAACAGAACTGAATAGATGGGAGAAGGAAAAAAACTACTATCAATAAACATAAACGGCTTAAATTCAACAAATAAAAGAAAAAGGATATTAACCAAATTAATCCAACAAAATGGCGATATAATATGCCTACAAGAAACGCATATAAAGAAGAAGGATGAAAAATATTTAGAATGCCCGAAATTAGGAAAGTTATTTACCACACCAGCGGATGAGGAGAAAAAGAAGGGAATTGCAGTATATGTGAAAGAAGATCTGAAGTCAGAGCTAGTATGGTCGGTTTCGGAAAGAAGGACTGGGCTTGCAGATTTGGATTAATAACATCTCAATTCTCTTAGTAGTAATTTATGCCCCAAATGGAGATCAAAAGGAGTTTTTTAAACACCTATATAGAAAATTGGTTGAATTGCAAAAGAGAAACATTTGCATTATTGGAGACTTCAACTCTATTGCTGAATTTCAAAAAGACCACAGTGATGGCGGAAAGAATAAAAAGGGGAAGAGAGAGCTCCCTAAGATCTGTAGGGAAATGATGAAAGAACTAAACTTGACAGATATATGGCGAAGATTACACCCTGAAAAAAAACAATTTACATTCTATTCAAATCCCCACCAAATATGGACAAGGATAAACATGGCATGGATGAATGGGGAAATAGCAAATGAGACAAAAGAAGTGAAAATTTTGCCTAACGAATGGGCAGATCATAACCGAATTCAGATAATATGGAAGGGCAGGGCAAAACCAAAGAAAAGATGAACGCTAAATACTCACTTAATAAGAGAGAAAGAATATATTAATAAATTAAAGAATTAAATTTTTTAATAAAAGAAAACGATAATGGAGAAACCACGAAACAAAATATTTGGGACACAATGAAGGCGGTAATAAGAGGTACAACATTATCTCTTATATCGCCAAGAGAAACAAGAAAAAATATTCCCAACAAAACGAATTACAATAAAGAATTAAGGAGCTAGAAACCCTCCTACAGAATAGCCCAAAAGATTTAAAATTGCAAAATCAGATAAGATTAGTTAAACACAAATTGAATTTAATTGAACAAGAGAAAATGACCATGAATTTGAATTTGACCAGACAAACCTATTTTGAACATGCCAACAAGTCAGGAAGATGGCTTACAAGTTAAAAAAAAAGAAAGAAAAGAGATTGATATATCAATTAATTGATAGTAAGGGAGACATATATCAAGAAACAGAACGGAAAAAAGAAATCACCCATAAATACTTTGAAGATCTATATAAAAAAGAAGACATTAGTGAGGATAGAATAAGAAATTACTTAGACGAAGTAACGGACAAGGTAATTGAGGAAGAAATGGTAGAACTACTGAATAAAGATATCACTGAAGCGAAATTGAAATCAGCAATAGAGAACCAGAAAAATAACAAAACTCCAGGCCCTGATGGGATTCCAGGGGAGCTGTACAAGGTAATAGTAGAACAAATTGGACCACTTATGGTGGAAGTTTTTAATGATGTTTTATTGGCAGCCAGGATGCTGGACTCGTGGAGGGGGGCGTTGATCTCGCTGATCCTGAAGGAGGATATGGACCCCAGATATATAAATAATTACAGGCTGATTTCACTCTTAAATACTGATTATAGAATATTCACCTCTATTATAGCAAACAGACTAAAGAGAATGTTAAATTTGTATATACACGAAGATCAAAATGGATTTCTTTCAACTAGGCAAATAAAAAACAACTTAAGAATAGTATTAGACGCGCTAGAATTTTATGAAGCCCACCCTGAAAAACAAGTAGCACTGATGTTCTTAGACGCAGAGAAGGCTTTCGATAATCTAAACTGGCAATTCTTAATTCAAAAAATTTATAATTTGAATCTGGGCACCAAATTTGAAAATATCATAACAACTATATATGACACACAACAAGCTAATATAATAATAAATGGGGAATGTACTCGCCCAATAAAGATAGAAAAAGGAGTGAGACAGGGCTGCCCACTCTCTCCGCTGCTCTTCATATTAGCATTGGAGACATTATTAATGTGAATCAGGCGGAATTCAGATATAAAGAGATTAACGGTTAAGAAAGAGGAATATAAATTGCAAGCATTTGCGGATGATATGATTTTCTTTATTGAAGAACCAATAGATGAGGTCTAAATCTGATGAGTGAATTGGAGAAATTTGGAGCAGTAGCAGGGCTTAAAATAAATAGAAAAAAAACCAAATTAATGACTAAAATTCTAACAGAAAAACAGAAAATAGAACTAGAAGAAACAATGCATATACAAGTGACAAAGAAAGTGAAATATTTAGGAATTTGGCTAACATCACACTGTAAGACACTTAAAGAAAACAATTATGATAAATTGATATACCAGATAAAGAAAGATTTAGAATCATGGGGCAAACTTTAAATTTCACTACTAGGTCGGATCGCCACCATTAAAATGAACATTCTCCCCAAATTCTTGTACTTATTCCAAATGATCCAAATTAAATTGCACAAAAAGTTCTTTGAAGAACTCAATAGAATAACCCTGAAATTCATTTGGCAAGGTAAAAAACCCAGAATAAACGTTAAAGCAATGCAGGATATAAAGAGCAGGGGAGGGTTAGCATTCCCAAACTGGGAGTTATACCATATGGCTACCTCATTGGTTTGGCTGAAGGATTGGGTGAACTTATCCAACGAAAGGATATTGTTCCTAGAAGGCCATGATTTACAAAGGGGGTGGCATGCCTTTTTATGGGATGTAAGGAAAACCAGTCAAAAATATTTTCATAGATACTTAATCAGAGACGCACTATTAACAATTTGGAAGAAAATACAGAAAAAACATTATACAAAAGTACCAATATGGATTTCAACTATGGAGGCGATGATTCACCCAAACAATTTGGAGATTACCAAAATGATTAAATACAAAGATCTATTGAACCCACAAGGAAATTTGAAACTGAGGCAGGAACTCCAGGAGCAAGGACAAAAAATTGATTAATGGGTCTACCTCCAGATCCAAAGTAGATACAAACAAGACAAGAAAGAATTCGGAATTAATAATAAACCTCAACAATTAGATAAAATTTTATTAAGACCAGATTAAAAAAACATAACAAAATTCTATAATTACTTATTAGAAACAGAATTGGAAGAAGAAATCGAAAAGGAAATAGGAACGTAGGGCGTGGAGTAGGAACGTAGGGCGCAGCATCACTTTAGCGGAATGGGAGAAAGTCTGGGGCAAAAATAATAAGATCACCAAATCAGCAGCATATAAGGAAAACCTTTACAAAATGTTTTATAGATGGCACTTTCCCCCTTCAAGATTAGCGAAGATGCACCCTAATACGAGTCCGCATTGCTGGAAGTGCAGGAAAAAAGAAGGAACATTTTTCCATATGTGGTGGACTTGTACAGAAACCCAAAAGTACCGGAAGAAAATCAAAACTTGGTTGGAAGAAATTACCAAAGAGCAGATCGAATACAAACCAGAGTCCTTCCTGCTAGGGATTTTTGATAAACCAATTTCCAAAAAAGCCAAATACATAACAATACACATCCTAACAGCGGCCAGATTAGCTTTCGCTCAATACTGGAAACAACATCAAATTCCATCAGATGAAGATTATTGAAAAAATTTCAAAATGTGCAGAAATGGACAAACTGATTCTGGCACTAAAAAACAAAGATACTTCACTATATTATGTTAGCGGGGGTATCATAACTTTAAACCAGTTAAGTGAACTGTCATAACCTGAGGATTACCTGTAGTTTCCTAGCTCCTTTGGAACTTCTATAATTTTTTGATCTGAAAGTTTATTCCAGTATTATATTTTTATGAAAATATTAGGAATTTTATATTTGAGTTATTTAAACGTGCTTGGATAAATGCCATGCAGTAATAAGGGGAGGGTGTGAAACCATGTGTTTTACAGTGTATTGTACGTAACTGTGTTGAGAGAATAGTAGAGGATGACAATGGAGCAATTATTCCATTTTAAATAGAGCTGTAAAAATTGAAATTGCATCATGCCACTTTCTAAACAAGAAAAGAAAAACAAGCTTCTTCAGTACTTTTGAATATTCTCCTCTTGCTCCTATTGAAGGGACTCGTGGCTGAGCACTCTCAGTTCCAGAGAAGTTAGAACTCAACAACTTAATCAGAAGGAAAATAAAAAGGAATCCTCAAGTCACTTATTCTGTCTTCATGAGGCTTATTGAAAATGTAGCAGTATCAAACTGGCTGGTGGAAAAAAAAACCTCATACCAATGCACCTTTTCAAATATTACCATTTACCAGTTAAGCTGCTAGCACAATGATAATCACAATTTCTGTAGTGACTCAAAAGTCCAGCAATATTATTTTCTGAGACACCTACATTCTCACCCCACCTTGGTTCACCCAATCAAAGCTTGGGCAATGATAAAACAGGAGAGAGGAGGGTCTCGCACTAAACAAACAGGAACAGAGAAGCCTTAGTGAAAAAGTTTATATTATTGAGTATATTTCTTTCATGACATTCGGTTGAAGAAGTTAGCAGTGGAACTAGGGCAATAGATCTTGTGATTTTTATACCTGGGTGATGCATTAGGGCCCGTTTCCGGTATGCTTTTTTAATTTCATCTTCAGATGCATTCTTATCCACACCCAGGATCTTGTAGTAATCTTTCCTCTTACTCTTTTTCAATTCCATCTGTGCATTCTTGAGTAGCTGTTTGTGTTCTACAATATATCAGAGGGAAAAGTTTTAGCTGCAAGAACAAATTACACACTGAATGTAAGTCTCCTACAAGCAGGCTAAGTATGAGAAAATTCAGGACTAATAAAGCACATTTTGATGTAATATATAACAGAAAAGATTTGCCTCCATTTGATAGGATGATCGCTCCCAAATTAATTTATTTTTAAAAGTGGATAAACTAATTGCAGATACAGCTATCAACAATTGCTTGTCTGGAATCTAACCATATACTATTAAAAATCTCCCATTTGTCTGTTTGTAATTGACTAAAACTATGCATCATAGGACAATCATTTTACAATCAATGTACCTCAAAGGGTAACTTAAATAATGTGTCCAAAACCTGAAATCTTTAATTCAAGTAGAACTGAAACTTGGCTGCCACAGTCATGTGATCATCATTTCCAATGCTCTCTGCCAGCTTCCCACAAGGAAAAGCTGCCAAGAAGTTGGAAATCCCAGGCTGCCAAATAGGTAAATGGCTGCTGTTGGGGGAGTGAATGAGGGAGTGCACAGGGATGGTATGTGTGTATGAGGAGGTGAGTGCACACAAGTCCTGTGGGAGAGGGTTAGGAAAGAAGGTGCATGGGGGTGTGAGATAGTATGAGGAAGACATGGAAAGGATCAGGGAGGGTGTGCACAGAAGTGGGCAAGTGGTAAGTAAGTAAGTATCTCTGAAAGGATGACCCAATAGCTCTTGTGTTATCTATTATCACTTAAATTATACCAATGAGATATAATTGCTACGATCCGGGTTCTAGAATGGCCCTAGCTATGGAAGTCTGACTTCACACAATTGCTCTCGTTCAGACAAGCCTAACTCAGAGGGTTGTTGCTGGGACTAAAACTAGGAAAGAGCACTATGCATGCTGCCTTGAGCTCTTGAGTGAAAAAGTGTGATATAAATCAAATAAGACTGTGAAAATAATAGTTAAAACCGATTTTTAGCAATACTGAGCTAGTGTACCCGTCATCCCTAGCCACCATAAAAGAAGTTGCAGCTTGGATTATATTAGAAAAAAGGCCAGTCAAATCCAGAACCACATGCTCTATGTTTACCTTTAGTTTTCTCTGTCTGGTAAACCTTTTCATAATCTCTCACAGCATCTTCATACTGCTCTGTGTCCATGTAGCTAGGCAGAAGCATAATTAACCTTATAAGCCTCAAAACAAGATACAAATTACATCAAGAAAAAAATCAGAAAATGATTTGAGTTGAAGGGAAGGAAAAATCACTCCTAACCCATTTTTCAGCTATGAACAATATCTAAGTTCCTACCAAATCAGGGAGGAAGTGCTGTATAGAAAAGTGATTTACAGAAAATCAAATTTGATATGATAAGCAACATGACCTGATTTCTAGACCACCTGAATCAACAGAGTACTGGAGCTGAATCTAGCAGAAATTCATGAAATAGTTTTGGATCTGGTGCATTTTAACACCAATTACCTTAAAGGCTTGGGATGAAATGTGAAGTGAGCAGAAACAAGAATATAATTCTAAACTTCTCAAATGTAAAAATGAGAGAGCTCTTGATGTAAAAATGAGAGTACATGGAGAAATTGTTCAAAAAGGAAAACATTTGTTTTTTATAGTTTAGCAATTGCCTCATTTAGCAACCACTTGCAATTATGAAGATCCTGCCCTGTCCCTTTCCATTTGTGTGGAGAAGATTAGCTAGTGACATTATAGGGGGCTCTTTTCATGTCCTCATTAAAGCACCCACCAAAGCGGTTATCTATTTACCTACTTGTGATTACTTGCTTTCAAAATGCTAGGTTGATAGGAGCTGGAGTGAATGAAGGTGCTTGCCCCCACTACACAGCAACCCTTGGGTCTCGCACATAGGCTTGCTAATTGTCAACCCAGCATCCTAACCACATGAGCCACCATGCTCCTCAATCCTCATATTTATGATCTTGGCAGGTCTATATAGCAAAGGAAAGCTTTGCTTAATGACCAAATTGCTGGCCTAGTTGAGGTTGCTAAAAAAGGACTACATTGATATTCTTCCCAATTCAATCAATTCTCTCAGCTGGTATTAGATATCAGGACACCCTAAATCAAAAGATAAGCTGTATCTTCACTACTTCTTAGATTATTAGTCTTTCCTAGCATTGTTTGGAATTAATGTTTTCAGTATTGACACCCAATACTGAAGCAGATAAAGAAGTCCAGTTCATGGCCAAATTTTGGAGGGAGTTCCTGTGGACTATTGGGTTGTCCTAGAGTCTTAGCTAAGCCTTTCATCCAAGCACCAATTGGGGGGGGGGGGGGGGGGGGGGGGGGGCGGCGGCGCGGGCAGAGAGATTGAATGCCATGGTAGAGCAGTATCTGAGATGCTACGTGAATTATCAGCAATCGGATTGGGCGGACCTCTTGCCTTTTGCAGAGGTCACGTATAATAATGCTGTTCACAGTAGCACGGGACTAAACCCCTTCAAAGTAGTGAGCAACATGGACTTCGTCCCAATGCCTGAATATCCAAGGGATTCCCCCCCTCCTCGGTCAGCCTGACTGTTTGGATGTCAATGCTGAAAGCAAATTGGGACAATGTAAATGGAGTGGCCGGCATGAGGTAAGGAGGCGGCTGCTGTCCTTCTCTTCTCTGTTCCTCCTGCTCCCCTTGTGCTAGCTGCTCCATTTCCTGTTTCTACATTGCAGCGCAGCACCCAGGAATCCATTTTGAAAGCATGTGGGGAGGTTAATTTGCCTGGCCAAACAGTCTCTGCTGTGCTCAGCAGCACCTTCGGTCTGGTCGCTCTGTCAGCAGCGAAAAAAACCAGTCCCATCGCAATTTGAAACAACCCCTAGGGCTTGCTCAAAAACCACATTCCCCAGCTTCTCAGCAGGAGTCCTCTCCAGGCTCAGCAGAGCCAATTTGGCTGGTCTCATCTGCGCAAGCTGATATCATTCTCCCCCGTGCTGCTTGCATGTCTTTTTAGCTATTTATCTTTTCAGCGCAGAAGGACTGGTGTGTGTATATGCTTTCTAGGGGGTCTTCTCTTTTTAAAGGCACTAGCTTTGGGATTTACAGGATTGTGGGTTGATCTGCTTCCTGCCGCCGGCACTGCCTCTCCCTTTGTCCTTTGGCTTTATAGGTAAATGGTCCTCCCTGGGATTTGATGTGTTCTGTTGAAACTTGTTATTTACCTAGTATATGTGTTAGAATCAGGGAGATTGGTTAGCAGCTAGAAAATATTCCAGTTTTTCTTACATGAAATCTTCCTATATCTTTACATCTGTAGGTCTGGTTTTAAGATTGTGATCATATAAAGCGAATAATTTAAAAATTAAATTTTTATTGATAAAATGCTGTCTCATCTCTTCACCTTGACACTGGATATGGGATCTGCAGCAAAAAGAAGGCTGGGGAATCCTGGAGGTTGAAGTCCATACAGGCAGCCCTCGATTTAAGAACCATTCCTTTCACCCTCTGTTCCTACCTTCCATTTCATGAAGCCAATAACTTTATTCTGGAAACTACATGTCCCTTGAAATTAACAGGATTAACTTCTGTATATACAGGTAGTCCCCAATTTACAACAGTTCATTTAGTGACCATTCAAAATTACAATGGCACTGACTTCCGGTTTGAAGGGCTTTGGCGACAGGCAGGAATCCACAATCGTGCGCTGTTTTTGCCTGGGCTCACCGCTGGAGCGCCCCGAGCCGGCTGGTTTCAGGGCTAAGCCACCCCGTAGAGGTGGTGAAGAGGGGGGAGATCGCCAGCAGGGTCGAGGAGAGCCGCATCTCTCCTCTTCAGCTGGTCAAACTCCCTTTCCCAAAGGCGGTAGGAGCGGTGGTCAGAAATGGCCACCTCAAAGAAGCGCTCAACTGGAAAAGAAAGTGCAGGAGGAAGATAAGAAGTGAAAGTTTTGGCTGACCGGGTTAAAAAGCAACAATTAAGGTACCCTGGAATTTAAATTTTATAAAAGATAACACTGCTCCCAAAGAAGAGTCAGAAGCAGCGAAGGAAAGTGAAAGGGGAAAGTGTTTTCCCCCCTCTTCTCTCTCCTTCCTTACATTAACTAAGAGATCTGAATAAAAAATCGGAAAAATCCGCTTTGGCATTAACAGGCAATTAAGCTGAAAATATAACTAAATACTGAAGGGACAATAAAGATTTCTGGATATTAAAAACTTTTTCTTCTATAAGCAGGAAGGGAGAGGAAAAGAATAAGGGCAAAATCCAGACTGCCTGGATTTCAAAAGAATCTAAAGTAAAATTTCAACAAGACTTCTAAAAGATACATTTTAACTGAAACTTTGCAACTAAATAGTAACCCCAGGAAGAGAAAGTGAAAGTGTAAAAAGGAACAGCCTTGTGTATTTGGATTGCTTGGTGACTTTTGGATTTTTGGTTATTATATTTGAATGACTAAAATCAATTGGGTAGTTGTTTAAATTTTTTTACAATGGCATCATTTCTGGATGAATTGAAAATGGAACTTAAAAAATACAAAGAAGATGTACAAGAAGAGAAGGGTTTTTTTTGGTTTCGTTTTTCAATTCTTAGAAATGGAGATCTGCAACTACGAGAAACAACAAGAAAAGACTGCAAAACAAGAAGACTGGGACAAAGAAGAAGCCATCTTTAATCCACAAGTAACTCTTTTTGGGGAAGAAAGGGGAAAGCGGGGAAAGAGTACGGAGAATTTAAGACTTAAAAAAACAACCAAAGAAGGGAAAAATAATTTGAAAAGTGGATATAATGTTGGAAAGCAACAGAAAAGGGGAATACAGAAGAGGGAAATGGAGGTGGAGAGACGGGGGGGTAAAAAGGGGAGAGAGAAGAAGAGAGGGAAGAAGGAAAGGAAGAGAAGTTACAAAGGTTTGGAGCAAGATGTAAAGAAACAAGACCTATTTAGAGATAATGGGTGAAAATCTAACTGAAAAAGGGATTCTGTGAAGGTACATAAGATTGTTTTGTTATATTTGTAATAGAAATAATTTTAGAAAATTGGAAATAACATATGATTAAAAAGAGGGATAAAGTAGTTGGTGTGGTTTGGTGAAATGTTTGTGAATAAAATAAATGAAATGAAATAAATGAGAAAATCGAATTAGGAAGGAACGGGAACATTTTAATTAGTCAATATTTTAATAAAATATAAGTGAAGGTGGGGGGGAATTAACTATGGAAAGTTTATAATTGTTCCCACAGAAGTAAGATATTTATTTGAAAAGTAATGTGCAAAATGTTAAGATTTAAATGAATATTAATATAAATGATAGAATTGAATTGGGATGGATTGTTGTTTTAATTATATTATACATTTATAATTTTTTCTTTTTTTAAGAATACAATGTGTAGTTTTAGAATGTACCAAGCAGAATCCGAATGGAAGTTATGTATTATATTAAGTGTTATAATTTTAGGGGAAAGATATAAAGGTGTCATACTCCAATCAGTGATTACAGGAGAAATTTTGTTTAATGAGAAGAGATAGTAGACCGTTGAAACAGGACAGACAAAGGATATAACTACAATGATTTGAATTGAGATGAAATAAATAAAATAAAATTAAGAAAATTAAAAAGAGGGGAGAAGCTATGTAGACAATGTGGAATAATAATAAGATATGGAATGGAATATTAAAATGAGCATGAACTTGAATTTGTGTCTGTATGAAGAGATGTAACCCAGGGTTATGCTGCCTTCAAAAAAGATGTTTTATGTTTTGTTTGTATGTTTGTTTTTAAAAACCAATAAAATTTATTTTTTTTAAAAATTAAATGACACTGAAATGACTACTTTTCAACTTACAGTCATTGCAGCATCCTCATGGTCAAAATTCAGATGCTTGTCAAAAGGTTCATATTTATGACAGACTATTAGGGAAAATACACCCGGTATTCCATAGTAACCTCTTAAAACCTGAGGTGGGATCAACCCTGAGGCCACCACCTCGTGAACCCCTAGATACCATGGTCACAGGGGGCCAAACCCATTATGAGGTATAGTGAATTCTCAATTTGAGGTGATACAGGATCTCCAATATTTAATCAAGTGCAAGGGCTACCCTCTATCAGAGGCATCTTGGGTAAAGAGTAGAAATGTCCAAGCTGATTGCCTTGTGACAAGGTTTCATGCAAAAAAACCAAATTAACCTCGGGGGGAAGGTTCACATACCTGTAATAAATTTGTTTTCTTTTTGTGTTGTACAGGTCACCTTCAAGAAGTGAGGATAGCTAAATGTCAACTAAAAAGATACTCCTTTGGTCTTTTTAGCTGCCAGAAAAAGGGAGTTGGGGAAACAAGGCATTCCTTAAGTGCCTAGATAATCACCCTGGAAACCCAAAGTTGTCGGAGCGCAAGGATATTACTGGAGAGCATTATTGATGACTCTTGGGGATAGATGTGTCCCATTGGAGAATACACATCCAGGAGGTGGGGGGAGGGGGGAGATCAGGGTCAAGGGGGAAATGAATGATGTATTTTAGTATTGGCTGCATCCAGCTAACCCCAACATGGCCACTTCTAATAAATCCATTTTCTTTTCTGTGAGATGCGGCTAGAGACTTATGATTTGAATGGGGGTGGATTTGTTGAAGTCCTGACACTAATGATAAATCTCCCTGCCACCATTTTTTGTTCAGTTTAAAAAACTTTTTTTAAATTACTAAATCAGGTATTCCACTCCCTTCCAGTTTTAGATGCCCATCCTTACCACTGTGCTCTTCTTAGATAGGCCTTGATGTATGTGTCGTCCAGCTTGATAGCACTTGTACAGTCTCCTATTGCTTCGCATAGCTTTCCAAGCTGAAAGGCAAACACCAAGATTAGGAACTAAACTCTTTGGCATTATTTTTAGTCACTAAGATAAAAAACAATATATCTCTACTTCAAACTTCATTTGCTTTGACAGGTCTTTAAGCAAGTTTAGATGATGGCTTTTTGATACCTTATCATATATTCTAACATCATCATCATCATTATTATTATTATTATTGATTTAATCTTCAATTTGATTCATAGTCTGGAACTGGTACAAACTTAACAGTTCAAGACCTAACCAAGGACCTAAGAGCTATTAAGGTAATGTCTGAGTATATAGGCAGTTCTGAGTAAGATGGGTTTTTTTTTGCAAAGTCAGAATATTCAGGCCTGATAAGTTCAAAATTTCCATATATCTAGGCAACCCTTTGGATATTGTGCCAAGCCTTCCTATAACTATTGGTTCAACCATTGATTTCTTCCTCCACAATTGCTCAACTTCAATTGGTAGATCACAGTATTTCATTTTTTTCTAGCAGTTTCTCTTCAAGTCGTATTCACCTGGTATTGCCATATCAATGAACCAGACTTCTTTCTTTTCCACAATAGCAATGTCAGGTGTGTTGTGGGCCAGATGTCTGTTTGGATTCAAAAGTCCCACAAGATTTTGACCTGTTTATTTTCAAGAACTTTGTCAATTTGATGTTCCCAGTATTTTTTGCAGCATTTGAACTCAAACTTCTGGCAAAGCTTCCAATGTATGATTTTGGCAACTCTATCATGACATTATAGATAATCAGTTTGTGAGATTTTGCTGTAGCCATTGATAAGGTGATCTGCTGTTTCATCTTTCTCACTGCATAAGCAACATTTGCTGTTGTCACTGACATGCTGAATTTTTGCTTTCATGGAATTGTTTTTGGGAAGCTTTTAATTTCTTTCTTCACCTCCCTGATCTCAACCATCTCCATGTTAGCTTTGTATCTATCTCTCCTTCAATGTCCTTCAGTATTGACTGTGCATAGACTTCTTTTTCCAGTTAGAAACTCAGTGCTCATTTGTTTCCTTTCGATATTCTGTTTTCAATCTTGTTGTTTTTAAGAGATTTCCTTTGTTCACCTCTTTTAATAGAGGCTCTTTTGCTTTTTTATGTAGTCATTTATGCCATGTTTTTCCCCTTCCAGTTTGTTTCACCTGTAAGAGTCCTCTGCTACACTGAGATCTAGGCAGGTACAATCGATCAATATCACTTTTTGGATGCAGAACATGATGCATTATCATTAGTTTTCTTGTTTTTCAATTCAAGTTATCAAGTTCTAGCTGAGTCAAATCAATTATTCCAGTTGAGTATTGTATTGCAGGCACTGCCGAGGTTTTAATTGACTTCATGATATTTTTTCCACTTACCTTTGATCTTAAAATTTTCCAGACTTGCTTTATGTATTTTGTTGAACTAGTTTCCTTGACTTGATTGTGCAACAGATCAAAGACTTCCAAAACTCCTAAGTACTTGTACCCTTCTTCTGGTGTTACTGCTTTTTTCAACTCTTCATTATTATTATTATTCAAATCCTTCAACAATTTTTCCTACCTTAATTTCAACAATTGTCTTACATTTGTCAATGCCAAATTGCATTTCAATGTCTCTGCTAAACTCCTCAGTGCTTTTCAGCAGTGAGCTCAATTCAGCTTTTGTTTTTCCAAACAATTTTAAATCATCCAAGTAGAGTAAATGGGAAATTTTCAACCTTTTTTTGTTAATTTATAACCCAGTTGTTTTGTTCAAAATGGTTGCTAGTGGCGCCATGGAAAGTACGAATAACCGAGGTATTTTCCACCTGAGTCTTAATTTTCTCAGCTAGTTCTGGTGGTCAGTTCAACAACTGATTCAGCTCTTGCTTCTGTTCCTCATCAATTTCTCTGATTTCCTTCCTTTTCTCCAGAACTTACTGCTCCATATCTAAATTATCTCTATTATCAGTTACCCTGGGGTCTTGATCTGTTGTTATTGTTGTGGTTGTTGTTGTTCTTGTTCTTAAATCTTCAATTCAATTCACAGTCTGGGACTTGTAAATGAACCAGACTTTTTTCTTTTCAACAATAGTGATGGACCAGATTTCAATAGCTATATTTTTCCTGCTGTTCCAAGTGCTGCAGAAATGATCGACCAAATGCATTAAGCACTTGATAATTTTTGGAAGCTTTAAAATGCAAGATGCAAAAAAAGATAATGTCCTTATCTTAGTGGTTTTCTTTCTATACTTGAGTGTTCGTAGAATGACTCCTTGATTTTATTCTTATTTCATCAGTTCTGTTAATCTCCACAATTTTTTTCAGGTTTTAAAAATGCTGTTTACTTAATTCAAATAGAACACATTGTGTTACTCAGTTTCAGCATCACACAACAGTAGCTGAGTTAAAAATTAAAGAGACCCTATATCCACCCTCCACATTTATTAGTAATCAAATTGCTTTTGAGACAAACCCAAATCACTCAGGTACAATACTTGTAAATCTAGAGATAAGTTAGAACAAATGCTACAGGCACCGCTATGGTTCAACTCTTTGACATACAGTAAGATTTGTCAGGATTTAAATAAACAAGCAAACAAACATAGAGGCACTGCTATTCTGAACAATTTCTCATCTTTGTTATTTCAGGTTTCAGTGGTGAGAAGACTTCTTCTAATGTGGCCTTCATGATCTTTTATAATTGAAGGTTAAAAGATTCTTCAAGCCCTTTTGTATTATACATTGCAATAAGGAGAGAGTTGAGGTAACGTCTCCCACATTTAAAACTGTTTGTGTTAGAAGGCTTCAGAGATACCTGATCTAAACAAAAAAAGACTCTACTTGGGCACTTACTTTGGAATTAACAGTTCCACGATTGCAGTAGAGTTTGGCATTGGTTTTCCTGTTGTTTGGATCTATTGCTAGAGCCTCTGTATAAAGTGTGAAGGCCAGCTTATAATTCCCTTCCTTGAAAGCCTTGTTACCTTCATCTTTCTTTGCTTTCAGAGCTTTGGCATTCTGAAGGAAGAAGTGGGTCAAAAGATAATGAAAGTCTTTGAGTAATTAAAAAAAACCTCGGGCTGTCTTAGCATATCTTAGTTGGCTAACTCGCACAAATATTTCTATTAAAGAATTATCCAATTCCCAATCTCAAGATCTAGCAAATGGAGAGAAGTGTTCTGGACACATCTCAATACATTGCCAAAGTTGTGCAGTATGAAGCAATTAATAATATTTGGAAGGAAAGAGATTATTATGCAGATGATAGGATTTCTTCTCTACTCAGTTTGAAAATACTCAGCTTAGCACCTGCTTTAGTAATGTAATAGCAAAAGCAGATTTCTAGCTGCTACCTACCACCATCTATCTTCTTTTGAACATTGCATGAAATTTAGCATTTCCAAAGTATATTCTTGGGACCCCTTTGGAAAAATTCGAGTAAGTCAAGAGTTGAACCTCTACATCTTTAAAGTATTTATTTAAAACATTTTTAGCAACTCCAGGATGCTGTAACTAGTAGCATCCTTCACCACTGGACATTGGGGTTGTGTATCAGCAAGATTTGGAAAGTCACACCCCGCCCAGGCCTGTCAGAAAGCCCATATATCTCCCCAGCATTTCTTTTGATGCTTACACGGCAGGCAAGGCAGGCTTTATCGTGGTCAGGAGCCATTTTTAGTGCCTGGACGAAGAACTGCACAGCCTTCTCGATGCAGTCCTCATAGTAAAGGCAAAGTCCTCGGACATAGAGAGCATCAGCATTTGTTGCATCTATTCGCAAGATGTCACTAAATACAGAGCGCAGGAGCAGAGGAAAAAAAAAATCACAGGACAGAAACAGAGCTGGGTACATTCTCAAACCAAGACACCAATACTGTAAACAACCTGTAGCATAACAATATGTGAGTACTTCAAATCAATACATGATGCCTCACTGCAGTTTCCAGACAAAGACAACATCCTTTCTAGTTGTCTACTGTCTTTCCTTTTCTCTAATTCCTGGCTTTTTGTTGTTGTTGTTGCTTTTATTCTAGTGGACCATTTCCATTCCAGTTCCTTTCTGTTAATTTCAAAACAAGTATACCCATGAGTATTTTTATATATAACCACATTTGTATAGTTCCTCATCTCACAAAATGACTTTGGGATGGTGTACATAAAATATTTTTTTGAAAGCTCCCATTGCATTTTATTTTGTTTTCTGCCAGGACCCCTGTGGACACAAAGATACCTCTTTAGAACTAAAAACGCTTTAGTCAATTATGCACACTAGTGGGGGAATTTTAATTTCCCAGGTTGTTCATTTTTCATTAAACACCAATTTATACAATTTGCTGTAAATTCTGAACCTGGCGGAACGATTAGAATAGTTAACTTGTTTGGGCAGGATTGAAGTTATCTTCATCCTGTCCTTGTGGGTCTTCCGCTAGTTCAGCTTAACAGGAAAGGGAAGAGTGTTATGCCAAATTTAGCTGTTACTCACTTGCTCTTTTTCTGTGGCTGTGCACTTCTGAACAAGAAATTGAATTTACTTCTCAACATCTTTATTCATATCCTTGTTGATTCTCCTCAAATTACTTAACGATCGTTCCACTAGTTTATTTTAATTCCATTCCTCTATTTCCATTCCTCCATTCCTCTCCTTTCCCATCCCTTTATTTTCACAATGCATTCCAGTTAGTAGTCTTAAAAACTCTGGTTTTTGCAAAAATGAAAAAAGCAAAAACGCACAAACATATACTCCACTGTAACTTAGAGAAATAAAAACTATTTTGGGTGCCACTGTGTCTTCTCAATACTAGATAATGTAAAAGCATAGTTCCAGTCTTTTTATTAGTATCAGGGACATGAGATATTGCTCTCAGTGTTGACTACATTATTATTTATACATATAGGCTTTCTCATAAAACCTATTATAGTTCTTACCTTATAACAGACTGGGCTTCAGAATAGCGACCTAGCAAAGCTAAACATTCTGCTTTGAGGATTTTGAACCGGTGACAGGCAGGGGCAAATTCTAGAGCACGATCCATACAAAAGACAACCTGGGGAATAGACACAAAGAGAAAAAAAAACAGAACACAAAAATTCAAGATATTGGTTTGGAGGGAACCCTAGGCCTGCTGAAGATAGGCATGCAGCTTGAATAATCTATAATAGCTAGGAGGTCTGCTCTGGAACAAAATTCAGCATAGGCAAAAATTAGTATCTTTTCCATTTAACTCATAATTCACAAAGTGTATGGTTAATGTATATATCGGTATCTCTTAGCAGCTTTTGGTCTTAATAGCTAAATAAGGGTCAATATGTTCAGAGGCAGCATATCACATTACTGGTTACTATGGAAAATGTTGACAACATACCACCATAAGTCGGATTTATTTCATACATTATAAAATAAGTATACTTATAGATCTACATAAAAGTTCTTTTGGATAGGATCCATATCTCTTGCAAGTTAGCCTAAGGCTTTGAAATGGTACTAATTTTCAAACACCAAAGCTTGGTGTTTGAAAGCTTCTCCCAAAAGTCTTATGAACCTTTTAACGAGGGTATGTAGAGAAGTTTAAGAAGCACAAACAAACACACAACTCAAGTACCTAAACTGCTATTACTCCCTGATTAAGGTCATTCACATGTAATACCTGATATAAAACTTTTCTACCTAGAAGCAGTGGGAAATCTAACCCCCCAAAACACATAAGATGAGGCTTTCTGCAGGTCTAATCTCCAGAATTTTCCAGGGGAAAATTACATGAACGAAATCTTTCTAGTATGCAACAATAACTTCCCATCTGTAAGTTACTCTTGTAAGAACATAAGAATATCTTTCTTTTATAAGTGACGCTTAATTGAAAATATGCATGTAGCCATTCCCAGAAGTATTAACAGGTGAAGCACATATTCTTTTTTCATAGAAATTATTGGATGAAACTTGTTCTGGGAGCAAAGTAAACTTAAACCCAAATATGCCATAATCACAAAATGGGGCAGGGGGATTGTGAGTACTACTTAAAAATGCAAAACATGAATATGGACAGTAGATGATAGTAGATGCATCTTTGCTCTTTAGATGTTCTTCTTTTGGAATGTTTCTCTTGGTGTGTGTATGTGTGTGTGGGGGAGGAATAAGAAAAAATGTAAGCTATAGACTACAATCCATTTTCCACACTCTTCACCTAAACCACTTTCAATCTTTAAACTAGATGCCTTTGCCCCAACTTCTATGTGACTAGCACAGATATGGCCTAAGAATACACCAGTATCTATTCTGCATACTTCTGTATTCTGGGGTAAAAGCTTTTCTAAATAATTATATTCTAAATAAGCTTTTCTAAATAATTATTTAAAGTATGGACTGAGTCTGCATAAGTCCATTAGTTCATCTGTCACAGCTTCTCTGTGTTCATGGGACAAGCCTGCTCACTGTCCCATCCCTGGTTCATATATACGACCTTTGCTGTGTCTTAACCTTTTATGACCTTCTAACAAGCAAAGTCAATGGGGAAATCAGAATCATTAATGACTGGGTTACTAACTTATCAAACTGCAGTAATTCACTTAACAACTGCAGCAAGAAAGGTTGTAAAATGGGGCAAAAGTCACTTAACAAATGTCTTGCTTAACAATAGAAATTTTGGGCTCAATTGTGGTTGTTAAGTCAAGAACTATGTATACTTTATTTTGCAGGTACATATTTCAGCTTAAAAACATTTAAGAATGGAAAAGATGGGAAGGCATACACAAAGGCAGCTATAAACTTTATCTTATTGATCTGAAAATATTAACTCCTGTGCTCTTAAAAGTGAAACTGTAGGGAAAGTGTCTCATTTTTCTGAATGTTTATTCAGTGTTCTGTGATTGCAGAAATTTTGGTAAATATTGTATTAGAAATTCAAGAAGCTGAAAATGATAAAATAAAAGTGGCTTCAATGAAGCAGCAGCTAGTATGACAAACGATGAACCTGAATTTCAGGCCTCAGTGAGTGTTCTCATGGTCTCTCAGCTAGCTGCATATGAAGAGGGCATTGTTGGTTTCAGGCTCAGCTGGATTCTCAAATTCCCTTCCCCCAACTCTTCTCACAGGTGACATCACCACTGGGTGCTGTGGAAAGTGCCGAGACACTCCAGATGATGGAGCCACAAAAAGGAGGAGTTTCTTCTCCAGAAACAAGGGATGTATTTGATAATGCATAAGGGACAGAGAAGCCTAAATAGAGCTTGCTCAAATGTCAGACAAAGCAGATTTCTTCCTTAAGACAAACTTCAGATTGTCTCTGGTGAACCAGCTGCTCTTGGCAATTAGAAAGCAGCATAGTAAGAATTCACTAGGTCAGACAGAGGACTTAACACTGAAATAGTGGGGCTAAGCAACAATACCATCTTGCTGAAGAGTAATTAAGACAAATTTGTTACTCAAAAGAGACAAAAAAAAAAAGACAGGGAGAGTTAGAGGTTTGAAACACTTGTGATGGTAGTGGTGGTGAAATAAACCTCCTGTTTCCCATTCATGAAAAGGTAGGATGAATTAAGTAATTCTGAAAGCACGAAAGGAATCTCATGGCCCCAACTAAACAGTCTCTCCCTCTCTTCCTAATTACACAACACATATATATACATATCAAGTAATCTTTATCACCTTTCGGAAGTCCCGTTTTTCAAAGTCAACTTCAGCAATTTTCTCATAATCTAGAACAGCTTTGGCACTCTTCAGCTGGAACAGAAAGCATCATATCAGATTAGAAATATTAACTGTTTGTAGGACATCAGGCATTCTGTTGTCCTGTAGATATATTTAACTACTGAATGAATCTACAGGATTCTCAATCAGATATTAGCCATAATTCTGAGAGCAATAGCTCACTGTATTTCATGGACAGCAACACTGGGGAGTCTAATCTAATGCTTTAAATTTCATATCTGAACTTCATTATGATACCTTTCTTTTTGATAAACAATATTTAACGATCAATTTTCAACATAATCTTAATAATACATGCTAATATAACATACACAATGTCTTATAGCCAATATATCTTCAGGATGTATGTTATGATTAAGAATCAAGTTTCTAGCATACACAACTTCTAATGTCCCTGAATATATTCAGGCAGTATTTTAAGATACGCTGTAGCGCTTGTGGGCAGAATTTCTGTCCTCTGTTTTGCATACATCTGGAGGGTTATACTGTAAGAGTTATACTTCTGTACAGGGTAACTGTTTACATTAGCATTATACCCCACATATAAAGGAGTCAGCATAATGCAACATGGGTCCTCAAACTGGGTCCTCTAGGACAGTTTCACCCAGAAACACTTTTTCAAGGACCGGCGGGGGGGGGGGGGGGGGGGGGAGAGACACCCTTTTCCAAGGAGGGGGAGGAGTCCGAGTTTGGTGGTTTGCTTGCAGACTCTTCATTACCTGACTTGATAACATCTGATGTTGTTACCTAGTCGGGTAATAAAACGTCTGCCAGCAAACCACCAAGTTCAGGGAGGCTCAGGAGAAATTCCTGCAGGATGGCTGAGAAGCCCCGCCTCTCAGCCCTCCCTCCCTCAGCCTTATCCCTCAGATGTCTGCCTTGTTCCTCTTCAGTCGCTCTCTCACTCCTCCACCAGCCCAGGAAGAAACTGCTTCAAAGAAGCCGGCAGGGAGGCTTTTCCTGTCGACGCAGCTCCTCCGAAGCGCCCATTCACCCCCACCCCGCCGCCTGCGGTTCAATCCAGTGCTCCGTTCTGCCTGCCTGCCTGCCTTCATTTCTGGTTGTTTCGGAGCAGTTTCGGCTGAGAATAATAACTATTCGCCTCTTTTACTCAAGCTGCTCCGAAACAACCAGAAATGAAGGCAGGCAGGCAGGAAAACGGAGCACTGGATTGAACCGCAGGCGGCGGGGTGGGGGTGAACGGGCGCTTCAGAGGAGCTGCGCCAACAGGAAAAGCCACCCTGCCAGCTTCTTTGAAGCAGTTTCTTCCTGGGCTGGTGGAGGAGCGAGAGAGCGACTGAGAGAGGAACGAGGCGGGAGGAAACCGAAGCCGCTGAGCCGGAGAGCAGGACAGGCTTTGGTTGCTTCCTCCCTCCCCTTCTTTCATTTGTGTCCGTGATCCCTGATCCCAGCAGCATTCACCGAAGGCGAAGAAAGCCGCCATTTTTATTTTATTTTTATTTTCTTTGCGGCCTGGTACCAAATGATCCACGGCCCGGTACCGGTCCGCGGCCCGGTGGTTGGGGACCCCTGCTCTAGGATATTATGAGCAACCTACTGAGAGTGGGATTTTTAAATATCAGACTAAGCCTAACAAATAAAGCATAAGTGCTGCCAAAAGATTCCCACACTTCGTTTTAGTCAAACTCACAACTGATTTGTTGAGATAAAAAGGGCAAAGTCTGGAGAAAGTTCTGAGACATGACTAAAACTGAAGGTGTTTTCCATCTGTGCAAAATCATCCATTTGTAAAAGAACTGTGATTGAGCAACAGCTGTTGATTTTTAGGATTTAAATAAAGTTAGATAATTTCAAAAACCGGGTTAATATAAATGCTAATTGTATTAACTGTGCACTTAAGGCAAATGGAAGAACAAATGGACAATTCAAACCAGAGAAGGAATCATTTTATAGATCTTATCATTAATATCTCAAATGTTTTTGTGTCTCACACACACACACATATACGTTCTGTACATTAATTTTAATAATATATTGACAGATTCAAAATTATATCTTTTAAAGAAATGGTTAAGGATAAGCATAGTTCTAGAAAGAACATGAAGGGTTTTAAAGAAAATCCAGAAATTTTGTATATAAAAAGAAAAGGAAGTTTTCTCATCAAACAAAGACTGGAAGAGATACAGTATTTCTTCTACTCAGACTTATAGCTAGGACAAGGGACAAAATGTTTAATTCACTAATGTCCTGTGTGTAACTGAAAACTGGAATAACTGTATACATTCAAAATGAAATTTAGCATTGCTGAGACATGTATCTGGAAGATAAGAAACAAGATGAAATTTGGTATTCAAAAGAAGGGCTAACTAAATTAATATAATCCAGTGCAACATATCTTGGGACTTTTATCAATCAAACAAGGGCTGCTGAACCAGATCAATCACCCAAACAAGAGTGGGATTCTCCCAGTATAACAACCAGTTTGCTAATCACGCGCTTTGCACACCTAAAACACACGTGCACAGCTACTGCAATTACTTACCTTCAATGTTACCTCAGGGAAGTAACACAGCTGAGGTGCGGCAATCTGCTCTGCCACGCAACTCAGCTGAGTAGATATAGGTGAGTACAGTGCAGTGGCGGGCCGACATGATTGTTGGATCGAACTAGTTCGGAGCCAGCTGATCAGCGTAGCTAAGGGTTCCCCCGAACCGGTCCGAACCGGGAGAATCCCACCCCTGCCCAAACCTTGTGTTCAAAACCTTACCTCTTGCTCTGCCTGTGCATTTTTATCATCCAATTCTTTAACTCGTTGGAAGCAGCGACTGGCAGCCATGGCATTCCCCAGAGATAGATGGCATTTTCCTTCCCTTAAATGTCCCTGAGAAGGTAAGAACATTATAAAAGCAAGCCAGTATAGTGCAGGATCAGGAGAGCTACACATGTGATTCACATACCCTCAGAAAGCTATCGTCCATTCTGACTGATTGCTGAGCATCCCCCAGGGCCTCCCGAAATTTGCCTAACATCATGAGAGTGGCAGCACGGTTTCCATAATAACTGGCATTGCTGGGACATGTATCTGGAAGATAAGAAACAAGAAGATAGTAGTTAATTTAGAAGCAGTAAAGAACTCATTTGTTCTGCATTGTACCTCTTTTTGAAGACATTTTCAAAAAGAAAGAAAAAGTTACGTGCTATTCTGCAAGATTTTGAACTCTTTCTCTCCACAAAGCAGATTTTACTTTTTATTTAATAATTATAATAAGGTTTTTATTTTGATATACAAAATAAACTGGCCAGTTTGCACAGGTTTGCAAAGAGCATTAAAGACTTGTTTGTGCCTTTGCTACAGAAACATAAAGAATACAAAGCAACTAATAAGAGAAATAGGGTAATGACTAATCACTACTTAATTCATGAAAGATCTATTTGGTTTCTCGATCAAATACGCCATGAATTCCCCCCCCCCTGATTTTTCATAACTGCAAGGAACAGTACTTTGATATTAAGAAAGATCTCTGTGCTTACAGTAGGCTATTTACACACTGTGTTTTAGACCCATACTGTATCTCTAGGACAGCCATGAATCAAAGAATATAACGTAGACGGATATACTGATATACATGAAAATCTTTATTCTGTATGTATTAAATGGTTTTCTGATTAAAAATGCTGGATTTAACTGCTGTAAAGAATTATCCATCTGAGCCAATTCATACATGCTAGAATAGAAACATTTCCAACTGAAGGAAATAAAAGGCCTTCATGATCTACACTTGGGAGTGCCCAAAGTTTTCAGATTTCCCATCCCTTTCCTTTTCATCCTCACCTATTGCTTTTGTATAGTAATTGTATGCTTCGTTGTAGTCCTTTTTGGCATAAAATGCATTTCCCTGCTCCTTGAAGGACTCTGCTTCTCTGAAAACAAAACAAAACATTATAATCTGAAATGCAGCAGCCTTCAATCCAAGCAAGACAATAGAAAAGAGATGATAGATCTAACTTATCTTACCAGAATCCTCACTACCTGAATCCTGAATAACAATTGCTTTGTGTTAAGTATTGGGAAATGGATCATGCTACTGAATGCACCCGTCTTCATAAAATATTTATTCTCTCAATGATTATCATAATGAAGCAATAAGATATCCCTTAACTAATAATAAATAATACTAATAATAATCCCATTTCTTTTAAGAAGAAATGTGGTTAGGATTTCTTAGTTAACAGTGGTGCAATCTAGATGTTTGGAACCACTGGTTCCATATTTTGTAACTAACAATGTCTTGGTCATATAAATTTTGATTACCATTTATACTAAAATTAAATAAAAAGACAAAGGTTCCCCTTGCATATACATGCTAGTTGTTTCTGACTCTAGGGGGTGGTGCTCATCTCCATTACAAAGCCCAAGAGAGCACTGTCTGAAGACATCTCCGTGGTCCTGTGGCCAGCATGCCTAAATGCCAAAGGTGCACGGAATGCTGTTACCTTCCCACCAAAATGGTCCCTATTTTTCTACTTGCATTTTTACATGTTTTCAAATTGCTAGGTTGGCAGAAGCTAGGACAACTAATGGGAGCTCACTCCATTATATGGCACTGGGAATTCGAACTACCGAACTGCCAACCTTTCTGATCAACAAGCTCAGCATCTTAGCCACTGAGCCACCATGTCCCTAAAATTAAATACATTACATTAAAAATGGGTTCCAAAAACAGACATGAAGAACGGTGCTTGCAATATCATTCTAGATACGTTTTTAAGCAATTATACTTTAATTAATACATTTAAATAAATTTTTATGCATTTTTTTTGACTAGTGATTAAGCCGCTCGTCCAGAAACTAGGAGACCGTTGAGTTTTAATCTTGTCTCACGCATGAAAGTCAGCTGAGTGACTTTGGGCCAGTCAATCTCACAGGATTGCTGTTGTGTGGAAAATAGGAGGAGGAAGGACTATTAGATATGTTAATGTTAAAAATAATTAAGATGGGATAGAAATAAATAAAGAAAAAAAGCTAAATATGTAAATCCAAGTCACTAAGTAATCCCAGAAGCAGCAGTGGGAAACCACTTATGTTGTTGTCAAGAATATGTTTTAATGTATTTTTTAAAAAATGCTATGAAATTCTGGAAACTGCATAAACCACTGATTCTCCCCTTCCTCAATAAGAGCTCTGAGGCTTGTCACTTATTTACAAGTGCATGATTCTAAGTGAAGTTGCGTTCAGCTAAACTACTCAAAACTCTACTCTATTGCTTGGAGGGGTGTGTCTACAAATTAATACAGGATATTATCAAACTATGTCAGAATGAAGTATAGCACTCTGGTAAGCAGGCTCTTTATATAGTTCTGAATTTATGTTCTTAGGAGTGACAAGGAATGCCCAAGACCTTTTCAGCAAGCTCGGAATCCAACTCCCAAAGGAACTATTGCAACAGTCAACCATAAGAAATAAAAAGCACCCTTAAATCCAAACTAATGGCTCTAAATTGGTTTCTTCAGTGGAATCCCACCCCCTTAGTACTCTTGAAAACAGCTAAGTAAAGCTGTTTGGCCAGGACAATACAAGCTATTTAGGGAGAAAAAAATCTCAAGAGAGAAAAAGAACAATGGAGGGTTGTATTGGTATGTGTTAACATGGTTTAACCTCATTTTGACCTCAGCCCACTGGCCACCCTCTCTAGACTCCTACCCTCAGGCAGTTCCCATTATAATGGAGTAGTTTAGTAGATTAGGTTGTAAATACAATCAAATGAATCCAAAAACATTTCATCTCATCAACAAGCTGATAGAGGTCAAGACCAAAATAATACTGCTCACACTTAGTGTAGACAATTGTGTTTACTTCAAGGTTATAGTGTCCTTGATTTGCCATAGCCTACAAAAATTTTCAGGCTTAAGAGAGGGATGACACATGTAATCCAATAGGTATAATAAAATCCATGTTCCTATTCCCACTATTTTTAATGTGAATATGTGATTTGAAAATCACCAGGGATGTGTCTGTGTGTATGCATGTGTGTGTGTGTGTGTGTTATTGCCAAGAAGAGATTAGAAGTGTCCACATTTAAGGCTTACCACAATTCTCCATAGCAAGTAAGAGAAAATTAGAATGTAGTGAATGTATTATTGTACAACAGCAGAATATGAAATCATGGCTCAATCTTGGACTTTTAAAATATAAACAAATTATAACTCCCCAAGTTGATCTATCAGAGAGAAGTGGTCCTGTTAAATCTGAAATGTAAAGTTCTTATTTTTCCTTTGGAAAAAAAACAAAATAGAAAAAGGCCATTGCTCATAAGGATTTGATACTCAACTTAAGGTATATTTATGCTCCTCATTAAGCTATAAAGTAAAATGATAATACAAAATACAACTAATACAATCACATTTAATATTTTAAATATATCATTATTATCTGTTCACAACAACATTTGTATTGTAACAGTGTCCTGCAGTAATTATGGAGACAAAGAAACAAATAACATCAGAAATTGGAATTGTATTAGAATACCTATCACCACCCCACTGCAGATTACGCACAGGAATGTTGTGTAACAATTGGTAGGGGTTCCAAGCAAGTCATGTAAAATTAAACTGCCTTCTTATTAACCATTTAATCTCTGAGGAAACCTCTGAAAAGTTGCAGTTTCTTTCAATCTTAAATCGACACTAGAATCATCCATACTAACATCTACCAATTTGTATACATGTAGTGAGCATACTATGTTTTAAGATGCAATTTAAGACATAGAGTCCTGTCCTTGTTTACTAAGGACCGGCTGCCAGAACAAGAGAGAAAGTCAGGATCTCCTGATATCACAAATGGTCGTTTCTGCTTCTAACAGATGCCGTAGCCTGAATGAGGTCATTCTGCAAAGCTTGCACTGATGTAGGCTGCGTTCCCCACTTGCTACTTTTGAAGCTGAAGAAAGAATCTGGCTAAAAATACAATCTAATTTTCTGAATAGGTCTCTTTGTTGGGCAAAAGTTTGTGTCAATCTGTGAACACTAGGGGGTGAGACACAGAGCTACAATGAAGAACTAAAAAAAGAAAAAAATATTTCCCTATACTAAGCTTCTGGGAAGCAAATAGCCATGCTAGGAAAGATGCCTTTCGAATACGATACTATGGATTGTTATGGTATTGAAGACTGTTATGGTATGGAATGCCAGGGCTCCTTAGCCAAGTCTTTGCCCACAATATGTCCTATATAATTTTGTTGTCCATTCAAGACATCACCATAACTTTGACATCTAAGCACTTTTTTTTCCACTGTTCGATTTCGTGGATCTTTTTTACTATCCACGAGGTTGAACAGTAAAAAAAAAATTCTTATATGTCAAAATTATGGTGACATCTTGAGAGGACAACAAAACTATATAAGACATATTGTGGGCAAAGACTTGGCTAAGGAGCCCTAGCATTCCATACATAGTAACAAAAAAGATAAGCAATTATATTAATAGTAGCTTGCTCACTACTAAGTGTGCAACTGTAGTTGAAGGTTGGACATCTTTTATATTAATTGGTGATTTAAGCAGGGCAACAGCCTAATATTTTATTTGCACAAAGTGTGAGATTGCATAAAATTCTTAGCCACTCTCCGTTCATTAGGAATTCACTGCAAATATGCAAGAGTTATTTAAGTTAAAAAAAATGAGTCCACAAGGAGTATCTATGGAGATTCTCAATCATCCAGTTCATTTTTGTACCAAAGGTACTTTTTCTAAAAGACAACTCTTGGTTTTTTATTTGAAAGCGTTTTGCTTCTCATCCAAGAAGTTTCTCCAGTTCTAACTGAAGTTAATACAGTTAGAACTGAAGAAAGGCTTTCAAAGAAAAAAAACCTCAAGAAAATACAGTTGCCTTTTGGAAAAAGCATCTTTGGGATAGTCCACAAGGACTTTTTTTGTAAAAGCAGAAACCTTAGTGGGTTTCTACCCTCTGTCAGTATTTCATAAACCAAAGATCAGCTCTAAAATAGCAATGCATAAGATCAGTAAAATCACATAGTTTGCACAACATAAAGTTGGATATATGAACTATCATAAGGTAAGTATTATGAATTAGATGTGTAAGGAATTTTTTTTTTGATTCTCCAGTTTTAACTTGCATGATGCAAATGGAATAAGTATAATGCAAGTTATTGTAGCATGTGAATAAACATTCATCTGTGCACCAGTGTCACCTAGTGTCTAGTGAAAACAATTGAAATTAAATAAGATGCTGTATAAAGTTCTGAAAAAGGACCTTTATAACAGAGATTTGCACTTTTTCTTCAAATTCTTCTCATAATTTTAAACTTATTTCTTTGGGTTTTCTTTGACTTTAAGATCACATTTTGATTCAAAATCTTTAATAAGATTTTCCTTTCCTGCAGTGTATACCACATTGCTGTGCCAGATATTGTGTGGTTTTTCCAGATATTCTGTGAACTTTGGCTTTCTTTTCCTTGAAATTTGTTAGCTCCAGATATCAAAACTCTGTATGTTATTTAGAGCTTGATTTTATTCTCTGAATAGAAAAGGTAAGAAACTCATTGCTAAGACAACAGAAGCTTTCCTGTACTCAAACTTGTGACAAACTCAAAACTGCCAAAGAAATCACTTAAAAAAATATTAGAACAGGAACATGCCTTTATTTTTCATTATTAAATGCAACAACTGTGTTGTTTTAGCATGTTAAAATCTTGAAGACTGAATATTATACTACATCATCAGAAAAACATCAAGCGCTATACCCATGATGGCAAACCGGTGACACGCAGAGCCATTTGTGCCGGCATGCATGTGCTTCACAGCTGATTTTCGGCCAATTTGAGGCCTTTTTCGGCCTCCCAAAGGCTTGAGGAAGGCTTCTGCAGGCTTTGCAGGCCAAAAACTAGCCCCATTTTGTCACTTCCTGT